GCTGGGTATATTGGCGCAGCGCGGCGCAACTTCAGCAAATTTCTCGGTTTTGGCACTGCTTGGCGCAACAATCGAGAATTGCATCAAATTGGCACAATTGGCACAGCTGTTGTACCCCTGCATGTACAGTAGAACCCGCTGATAACGAATTCAAAGTGTCAAGGTAAGTGGTCATTAAATAAGTAGTTCTGTTGTATATGGACTCGCCCTTAAAAACATGCGCTCATATATAAGGACCAAACTGTTTTTCTTTTCTGTGTATAAGAAGTGCTAACATCCCCTCTGGTAACAAGTAAGTTTTGTCTTTTTGCGTGATAAGCGGCACCTGCTGTGTGCTTGAGAGTGAATTAAAACTATATCTGCAATCAACTCGTGCTGTTTCACAGAAGTGCAGCACCGCCACATAGAATCTATATTCCCCGGCTAGTTGCATGCAGCACATTATAACCAACAGATCGTTTTATCTGGGATCGTAATAAGTGGTTTAACTGCACCAGCGTTGTTACAAAAATGCTTATACGTACACTAACTCGCACGTGCATGCATAACTACATGCATTATATTATTATGCACAAAACGACAGCTAAAGCAATACACTTATAATGATAAATGAAGAGCTTATTAAACTCTTCAAGAAAACACTTCATTAAGAAATTATAAGTTGGGGATCAGCTAGGTAAATTATCAAGTGTGCAGAAGCACATCAGTCAGGTAAGTGGACGAGAGTAAACTTGATACCACTGTGGTCTCGAAAAAAAAAAGGGGGGGGGGGACCCTTAAGCTTCACCCTCAAGATTTGAACCCAATAGTGATATCCTATCCCTAGTGCGTAACGAGTTCAAAGTAGCTTGTGTCAGTGAAGTTTTCGCATACGGCTGCATTCAAATTTGCTTCTGCACCCGCACTTCATGGCCGCAGTAACATGCGTGCCTTTTGTGGCCCACCAAAGTCATGATAATCACATGTGCCATATCGCAATTGTATTACTGCGATATCACATGTTGGATAGTGAAGCACGTATACAGGATGCATGTGATTGGATCGCCTCACTCTGGCGAAAGAAAGCTGGCGGTTGGACGCATTGTTTTTAACTGCGACTTCACGGTATTTCTCTTTTGAGCAGCACTGTTTTGCTCTTACTTCATGTGTGTGGACTTCTACAGACTACAAAATGCAGAAAGCTGCAGTTATCAGCACGCTACATACGTGATGCCACTGTCAAGGCCGCTGGCAGTGCCACTGTCATCTCTCTCTTTCTATGTTGTTGTGGTTGTTAACTCAAGCCCATGGGGTTAAAATGAGCACCGACCACAATTGTTCACATAAAAGCAGAACATTTTAGTTACTGCACAGTAGCCTCATTCACAAAGAAAAATGAATGTGCAAACAGTTCAATAATATATATCTTAACCAAATAGGTACCGGTTTCTCTTTTTATGAGCATCCTGAAAATAGATGTGATTTTTAATTGATTCTGTGGCTGTGCAAATCACACCAAAAATTTCATCTTTGACGAACCTTTAGTCTATAAGATATGGCCCATGACCTTATGATCACGCGAGGCTCTTAGGCTACAGCAAAAATGAAAAAATGTTATTAAACGTTTTTACATTAACTTATTTTACAAAAAAAGCTATATGACGAGCCTTAACGCGTCGAAAAAAATAAAGTTAGATGGGCACTCAATGGGAAATGATATGAAGCATTGGGTACATATACTGATGTCGCATTTATGGCACTGTGTAGTCACCGTGCTGTTGCAGTTATCTTTGTTGCAGCTGCCCCTTTTCCGTTAGGTACAGTTCCAACGAAGTTTTCTTGTTCAAAATGTGCACCACAAGATGCACTTTCAGCAAGCATCGACATTAGTTTGATAGCCAGTTCCTTTTCGCTTGTTATCTCACCTCATCTGGTAGCTTTGAGGAATTTACATCCGGAATTCCAAGTTCAATGACATTGGATCATGTGCTACGAATAATCACCACACATTAAATATGGATACCTCGCAAATTAAATGTCGTTCACCACCACTTTTTTCAGCTAATTGCAATCCAGTCGTTTTTTTTTTTTTATTGTTGCAATCCAGTAGGTGCCTACAATAATATCCAGCTGGCCAGTACTCCCGTGAAGCAGTTATATTGGGTAACTGCATTATAGTGAAGAATGTTTGTCATCATCTCCGCACTTGAAGGTAACTTCGCGTCAAGGCTTTCATCTCCTACACCTGAGCAGATAATTGGATTGGTGATCCCTCGCCTCGTTCTTCATACTCTGCTTCATCTTCATCACAGTTGCATCCACCATTGCGACGACCATCAGCAAGCACATGTTTAGCGCCTGCTCTAAGCTGCGTATAAGACTGTCTAGGATTTAGGTGCACAAAACGCCAGGGGGCGAAATTTACGAAGCGCTCTACTATGGCGTCCCTCATAATCATATCGTGGTATTGCGATGCTAAAATCCAAAAATTATTCTTTATTATACTTAAATTTCCCATAAGACAACCAGAATCCTCACCTGTGTCATCTTCATCTAACCAGGTGACAGCCTCCAACAGCTAGTAATGTAGACAGCCAATACATTTTTAACGTTCTGTAGGGGTATTCTAGCTACATCTTTTATAGTAAACTTGGATGTACAGTAAATTGGCGCACGAGTGCCGCGAAATCACACTATAAGGAGCGTAAAACGATGTAACGGACTTCAACAAAATACGGAACCTAAAAGCCAAGCGTGACCATATGGTAACACGTAAAATCTCACAGTGCAGGTCATCTTCAGAATCAGGTCATCTTGAGAGCCACGCTATGGAAAATTATTAATGCAAAAAATATCTGTTACTTGAAGGTGCGTTGCATGCCAACACGGTGAAATGTAGAACCCCTATTTTGTGCCTGTTTTAGCACCTCCCCAATATTACATAAAAGTTTTCGACCTGAAGTTATATGTAAGAGGTACACTAACCTATCGCAAGGTATATCACTGTTATTCTGTTGAGGTTTTCTAAAGCTGCATAAATTAAAATGTTTCGTCAGGAAATGCGTGACCATATGGTTACACTGGTACATTTAAAATACAACTACATACATACATGTGGGCGAAGTTGCTGTCATTACATTTAATAATGTGTGGCATTGTCTGAAATGTGAGAGTGAAGATTTTTGTTCATTTAACCCTATTCTGGTCTATTTCGAGGCCAGTTGCTTCTGCGTGTTTGGACATCGCGTTTGACGAAACCTTTTTTTCTTACATCATACATTTGCTGCTCCAGTTCGCTAAAGCTACTTCTCTTGCAAAGGTAACTTTTATCACAGTCTGCGCCACCCCCTACACTTCTCCCCGGGCGTCTGTACCAATGTGTGTGCCCGACACGGGTTCCCGTACGCAAGTGGCGTGGCCAGGGAGCGGCACACCAAGCCTGTGCCCTCACCCCCCAAATTTTTTCCCATGGCATACAGCACGCAAAAAATAACAGTCAACCACATCTCCCTGCCCGGCCCCCTGATTCTAATGAAGGTGGTGCCCCCTCCGGAAGAAGTTTCTGCCTACACCCCTGTCGTCCGCGACTTCAGCTCACATGGTTCCTTGCTCATACGTCTGCAAAATGGGCCTACAGCCACTGTCGCTTTTTTTAATGTTGTTTTGATTCACAGGCGAAAACGCGATCAGCTTCGAAAACTGATTCATCTTCTAATAGCTGCCAAGAAATGTCACTCAGCTTATAAAAAAAGATGTAAAAAACGCTGGCATTTTCACTGAAACATGAAATTGCCGTTTAGATCACGGTATGCAAACATACCTAGCAGCATCCTCACTCAAGGGCACAAAATAATACGGCCGGCGCGCAATGCATTTGCTATGATAATCAAGCCTGGTCGGGATCACGCTTTTGTATCACGATTTAGCTGTTTGTAGAAGCTGTGGAACTGAGCCAATAATTCATAATTTTCACCCGTGTGTGGCTCAATGGCGATCGAATATGCGCACCATGTGACAACCTACAAAATTTTCGCAATAAACACTATGATTGCGCCGCACAGAAACTTTTTCCTCGTGTGACTAGTCACAACTCTGAGTGGGGCACGTGCGTGCGACTCTCCCGTTTGCCCGCAATCATGATGGATAGGTTGCGGCTGCATGTAGCTGTAAGAATGCTGTGTTGCTTCTCACAAAGCGGGGAATCCGCTTGCACTGTGCTTCGTAAGGCTTTGTGTGCTAAACAAAAATGCAAATTTGCGCACGCCTGTCGTGTTAACCGCGGCCCGTCTTTAGATGCATACCAAAAATGAATGAAGTAGTGTGGTTGCGCATTTCTTTCAGCAAAAATAAGTCTTTTTGCCACAAGCATGCATTAATACCCATTTGATGTTTCAATTCGACACTGAATGAGTCGTTAATTTTTACAAAAGCAGAGCGGTCGGCCCCAGTATAGGTGGCCATGTACACAACGCTGGTAGTCAGGCATTATAAGAGACGTAAATCTTTTCCAAATAAGAAACGTGAAACTTTTTCGAGCAGTTATTTAGCACTTCGTATAGTCAGTGAAGAGGGTGCTGCAGTATTTTTATGGTTTCATTGAGTGAAGTACAAGAAAAAAAAATAATAAAAGAAGACGTGAAAGCGGCTGTGCGCGAGAGGGCTGGCAGAGCAATCCAGCCACGCGCGTCAAAGAGAAGCGTCCACGTGGTGGTGCCACGATATGACCTCGCGTCCAATATAGAATGCAAGATACTTTCACTGCATTTCCAAGCAGAGAAAGTCATTTTCCCTGTATTCCCAAGAAGACTTCTGGCTCTGTTGTAGAACACTTATTAGCCACACGAATGACCCTGGTTTAATCCCCCACTCGGACCTAGATTTTTTTTTTATTATTTATTTTATTTCCATCTTTTTTTATTTTTCTGTCATGCACAAGATGATGATCCATTGGTCACAACCAACAACGCCAGAATTCCTGCAAAACGACTGTGACTGAAAGGAGCCTTGCTCCAGATGCTCACCTCTTCCTCTTCAGCATTGTCGGCCTCCTGCGGGTCATCACTTTCATTGCCGCTGTCATTGGCAGGGTCCTCATTGTCCTCTTCCTCGTCCCGGCCACTCTTGCTTGCCTTGTCACCAGCCTCGCTAGCAGTCTCACCCTTGACACTGTTCTCCTCAGAGTCCTTGTTGGTGGGCGTAGCAGCAGAGCCATTTGCAGCACTGGCATGGTTTGCACACACCTCGCCAGTTGCCACGCTGTTGGTGGTGGTGGTAGTGGAGCTGCTACTGCCGTTCGCTGCTGCGGCGTTGTTTTCCAATTCCTGCTTTAGAATGGCTTTCCGCTGCCTGCTCTGTTGCGTACTCCTAAGCCTAGTAATGGAAGGTTGTTTACTAGAGTTAACCCAAAGCATTTTTGATCTGGTCAGATACAGCATGCAAGAAACATACATGCCGGCCACAAAGCAGTAACTATGAACCCTTCAGGTTTGAATAGGCAATTTTGCCAGAGAACCAGCATGTGATAGGAGTGGTGATGAAAAATGCCGAGGGCCAAAAGGCCTACAAGACAAACCACTCTTCAAACTTCCAATGTTCGCAGCCTCCAATCTCCCCCCCCCCCCCCCCTGCTATGTAATTGTTTACTTCATTCATCTTTTTCATCTAGAGATATTAAATATATATAAAAGGAAAAAGAAAAAGTAAAATAACACTGTATTGTAAAAATGGCCTCAATGTACTCACTTGCGTAGTTCACCTTCCGCAAGCCACTTGTCTTTCCTTAACGTGATCACAGTTTCTATGCTACCGTCCACTTGCCTGCATGTCAAAAGGCCAGACAACATTTATAGGGCACACAGATTGGCCGCAAGGCAAAAGCTTCGCTGCCCATACTCACCTGACTACTCCTCGGCTACATAGAAGCTCATTGCATAGAAAGGCCATGATTTCAGATTTCTGTGTTGGATTCAAAGCCAGAAAGGGTTTTTCAGTTACCCACTGATACATCTGAAAAAAAAAGGGGGGGAGGGGAGGGGGACAGTTGACTGTCATCACCTTTTAGTAATAATTGATCGAGTTTCACATCCCACAATCACCATATGATTATGAAAGATGCGATTGTGGAGGGCTCTGGAAATTTCAATCACCCAAAGTATTCTATTATGTCCCTAGATCCAAGTACACGGGCCTTAATCCAGTGACCTGCGGCTCAGCACCATAACCACTCTTGAAGGTACGCCAAGAGCATTGGTTGAAGTCCGTGACATGTTAGTTGAGCACACAAGCCTAATTCCATACCCACTTGCAAGAAGTGATTTCAGAATCACTTAGCTAAGCAAATTCCATTTTTTTTAAATAATAAAAGACCAATACAGGCTGGAAGGACATAAATTATAAGATTTGGCTAGTGTTCTTTACAGCAGAAAAATAAGAAAAGTGACAAAATAATAACGCAATAAAATTTTTCATGTATGCATAATGTTTTACACCTCTGTCACCAGGCACCCTTGAGCTTTGCTTAACTTCCTCGTTGTTGTGTCGACCGAGATGCGGTTTGTGCTGCTTGGTCTCCCTAATGCCAAAGAAGGTGACTGGATCATTTCACAAGTGAAGCTCGACGTTTCCAGTTAGCGGCGAACAACGTACAGTGCAGTCCACTTCTAATGATATAATGGTTATAACTTTTGCTTTGGGGCTATGTGGAAAAACCATATGCAGTAGACTCGCAACAATTCAAACTTGGATAATTAACACTTTCGGTTAATTCAAACAAAATTCATTTTTTGGTTCGCTCTCTATTTTTTTCTATGTATTTAAAATTAAAAGTCTCTTCATTCAAACTTCATCATTTGGTTAATTCATACATTTTGCAGTTCTATACCGAAAAATATCTGCTGCTTTCCCACTACCATTTAAAAAATTGTGTGCTTATATAACCCTAACAGTCTAAAATGACAACTAAGCACTTCAGGCCTTCGATGAAAAAGGCTCTGCTAGTAAACAAATGTTTTAAATGAAGCACATAGCTTTGACGCGACGTCAGTGTGAGTTAGAATTACCTGAAAGTTCGAATTAATGAGATTCGACTGAGTTTATTTTCCATGGCACGCGTGGTCGCGTAGTGGTACATCAGGCCGCAAGGCGGTTTCCTTCTTTGCATGCTTATAGGTGTGCGCCCATCTGAGCATACATTGCCACAAACTGTTATAATCGATATAACGAAACAATGGCTATAGCAAGATAATTGTGGCTCCCCTTCAACTTCGTTATAACAAGGTATGAGTGTATATACCCAAATGTCATGATTATTTCGAAAGTGCTTCAAATATTGGACCGGAAGGGAAGAGAGTGAGATGGGCACAGGTGACCGTTGCAGGACGACCAACAAATACAAAAAACAAATACTTTATAAGTTTACTGGTGGTCCTATTATGGTCTTCATTAACATTTTTTTTTCTATTCCATTTGTCCTTTATAAAGTATGTTGGTGGTCCTACCACAGTCTCCATCAATACTTCTTTTTTTTTAGTATTCCATTTGTTCTGTATAAAGTTTGTTGGTGGTCTTACCACAGTCTCCATCAACACTTCTTTTTTTAGTATTCCATTTGTTCTGTATAAAGTTTGTTGGTGGTCCTACTATGGTCTCCATTAACATTTTTTTTTCTATTCCATTTGTTCTGTATAAACTTTGCTGGTGGTCCTACCACGGTATCCATTGACACTTCTTTATTTCTGTTTTCCATTTGTCCTTCATAAAGTTCATTGGTGGTCCTACCACGGTCTTCATTAACACTTCCTTATTTTTGTATTCCATTTGTTCTTCATAAAGTTTGTTGGTGGTTCTACCACAGTCTCTGTCACCACTTCTTTTTTTTATTCCATTTGTTCTTTACGAAGTTCGTTGGTGGTCCTACCACGGTCTTCATTAGCACTTTTTTTTCGTATTCTATTTGTTCTTCACAAATTTTGTTGGTGGTTCTACCACAGTCTCCATCAACACTTCTTTTTTTTGTATTCCATTTGTTCTTTATAAAGTTAGTTGGTGGTCCTACCATGATCTCTATTAACACTCCTTTTTTGCATTTCATTTGTTTTCCATAAAGTTCGTTGGTGGTCCTACCACAGTCTCTATCAACAGTTATTTTTTTTTATTCCATTTGTTCTTTATAAAGTTGTTGGTGGTCCTACCACGGTCTTCATTAACACTTCCTTATTTTTGTATTCCATTTGTTCTTCATAAAGTTTGTGGTGGTTCTACCACAGTCTCCGTCACCACTTCTTTTTTTTATTCCATTTGTTCTTTACGAAGTTCGTTGGTGGTCCTACCACGGTCTTCATTAGCACTTTTTTTTCGTTTTCCATTTGTCCTTCATAAAGTTTGTTGGTGGTCCTACCACGGTCTTCATTAGCACATCTTTTTTTCGTATTCCATTTGTTCTTTATAAAGTTCATTGGTGGTCCTACCACGGTCTTCATTAACACTTCCTTATTTTTGTATTCCATTTGTTCTTCATAAAGTTTGTTGGTGGTTCTACCACAGTCTCCGTCACCACTTCTTTTTTTTTATTCCATTTGTTCTTTACGAAGTTCGTTGGTGGTCCTACCACGGTCTTCATTAGCACTTTTTTTTCGTATTCTATTTGTTCTTCACAAATTTTGTTGGTGGTTCTACCACAGTCTCCATCAACACTTCTTTTTTTTGTATTCCATTTGTTCTTTATAAAGTTAGTTGGTGGTCCTACCATGATCTCTATTAACACTCCTTTTTTGCATTTCATTTGTTTTCCATAAAGTTCGTTGGTGGTCCTACCACAGTCTCTATCAACAGTTTTTTTTTTTTATTCCATTTGTTCTTTATAAAGTTTGTTGGTGGTCCTACCATGATCTCCATTAACACTCTTTTTTTTTGTATTCCATTTGTTTTTTTTTTTTTGTTGGTGGTTTTACCATGGTCTCCACTAACACTTCTTTTCTTCTGTGTTCCATTCGTTCTTTATAAGTTTTATTGGTGGTCCTACCACGGTCTCCATTAACACTTTTTTTTTTCGTATCTTATTTCTTTGTATTTGATTTTGTATTTGCCCAATTGCAATTGCCTTTGTCCTGCCTGACGGTAGTCCTTGTCAAGTTTGTTCCCAGTAGTGTTTGCCGTCCTCGCTCAATCGAGGTTAGACTTAACCAGGCCTAGGGCCCTTGCTTCAAGACTCAACAGGTGACAGACGCCGCCTTGCCTGAACTGTGGACTACAGCTGTTCTGCCGACAAGAGAAGAACTGCTGGTGATCCCAGAACTGCAGTGCTGTGGGTCGACAAGTCCGGGCAGCCTCGCTTGGAGTTTTCCAAGGTTTTCTGCCACCTCCAGAACCAAGTACCAGCCGCTCTCATCGCGGGCGCGATGCATGCTTCTTCCTCCATCTTCTCCATTTGGTGCCCAACAGAACAGTCTCTTGTTCATCCTTCGACGTTCACCATCACAGCTCGGGTCGCATGCCTTGAGCCTCTATCAGGCCAATCCTCTGCGTCGACGTGGCTGGTGCATGTGCCCTTGGGTGACTTTTTTTCTCCTCGTGCACCGTTGCTGCGCTTCCACGTTCAACACGTGCCTCGTGCTTCTCCTTTACTCTTCCCACCAATAAACTTGATGGGGGGATAGCCGCAGTTGTAGCTCAGTTGGTAGAGCATTGGATGGATTATTCGAAGATCGAAGGGTCGGTCCCTGCCCACCGCAAGTTATCTCTTCGTCCACTTTTCTTTCTTCAAATTTACATGACAATTATTTCTAATAGCATCCCCTATGCTTTCCCTGACATTATTGTCTTTTAGTTTTCATTAATATTGAGCTTAATAAATGAAACGAGCCCTTAACCTTACTCCTTCCTTTAGAAGAGTTTTGTGGCCACTAGTACAGTGGGAACAGTTGCGATCATGTCTACCAACTTACGGCACATTCTTTGTCGAGAGCCATGAAGTACAGGTGCAGGGCCTCCGTTACAGTGTCGTTTGTGATTGTGGCATCCTTCACGTGCTGCCCAAGGACGGTAACAGCCTGTAAGTTACAAAGTAAAACAGGTTGAAAACCATGCTTTGGCACCGTTTCTTTAAATATTTATAACCTTACGCATGAGTGTTTGTACACGATGAAAGAGAACAAGTAAGGGGAAAAAACACAGAACAAGAGGGTTGAGCTACATTTTGCAAGTTGTAAGAGGGGGGGGGGGGGAGAAAAAGCTGAATTCATTGAGATGAAATGCCCTTCACTCATACAAGTGACACCCCGACACAATATTTAAGAAAAGAAACGGTATAAGAAAGATTAAAAACATGAAGTTATTTTGTTCTGTTAGTGAATCACCTTTCCAAAATATAAAATAGAACGCCACTCTTGCTACAAGAGGACCCTTGATTAGCTGGTAAATGTGCAAAAAGACAGGTGGTGAAGCTGCTTTCAAGCTCCTGCGTCAGCTGGCAGCAGTGATTTTTACAGTGCCTGCTAGGGCCTAGATAATTTCCAAACAGTAAAAGTGGACCCCGCTATGTTCAAAGGGACAGAGATGATAGCCTATGGCAAGTTTTCAAGATATTTTACTGAGAACAGAATCTATGACATCACACTGACATGACTGAGTGCTTCACCTTCATTTTCCCTTTATTAATAAAACTATGACGATGCTATTATTGACACACGAGCGCTTATCAAAAAATTTCGACGTCATCTAGTGCTTCTTTTCAAAGTCGCTTCAAAGGTGCCCTGCCAAACATTTTCAAGTAGCCATGGAATGAATTCACTGAACTGAGCTTATTGCTGCACGCTGCAATTGCATTCTCTCGTCCTGATGAAATCGCTGAAAGCTAAGCAATGAGGAACGGCAAGGAGGCAGGAAATGCATCAGACATGCCTCGTAACCTTGAGCACTTTTGTTCAGTGCGATCGTGCGCACAAGCGTAGACAAGTGGTGGCCTCAGGAGGCCGCAGTAATGACCGAGATCGCCATGCTCAAATGAGCCGATGACTGATACAAGGGCTCCGCTGAGTGATTGTTGAGCTTTTAGTGTCACTTGTCTAGAAGAGAAAGCAATTTTTAGCCAACTTCTAAAATTTATTGCTAATTCCAGGCTACGTGTCATGCCATAATATTTGGTTCGTGTATTATCGAGAGCATCAACTACCGATCAATCACGTTTTCTGACCAGATGCTTCAATGATTAAAATAGTAGTTCTAGACCTAAATGTTTAATTATTTCACATAATTAAATGTACTAAAGAAAAAGTTACTATCAGCAAGTCCACTGTACTAGGAACAATATGCATTAGGTTTTTTTTTTTTTTGAGTAACTCTAGCAGTTTTTTTTTTAATCGTGCTCCGAGATAACTGGGATATATACACACACACATATATATACGTACACACACACACACACACACACACACACACACACACACACACACACACAGACAGACAGACATATATATGTATATATCAGGGAAAGAAGTGTATACCTAAGGGCTCGTTTTTCCATGTTTTGACACAATATTAATGAGATCTAACAGACAATAATGCCAAGGAACGTATAGGGGATGTTATTAGAACAGATGGAATGTAAATAAGAAGAAAGAAAAGTGGGTGAAAAAATAACCAGCTGTGAGCAGGAATCGAACCTACGACCTTCGAATAATGTGTTCGAACGCGTTATTCGAATAACGCGACCTTCGAATAACGCGTTATTCGAAGGCTGTAGGTTCGATTCCTGCTCACGGCTGCTTATTTTTTCACCCACTTTTCTTTCTTCTTATTTACATTCCATCTGTTCTAATAACATCCCCTATACGTTCCTTGGAATTATTGTCTGTTAGATCTCAGTATATATATATATATATATATATATATATATATATATATATATATATATTGTGGTGTAACGGTGAAGGCAACCTTTATTAGGCCCAGAAGACACGATGAAGCGACCACGCCCAAGGCACAGAACTCAGACAAGCCAAGTCCCCACAGCAGATGAAGATGACGACCACTCACGATGATGAATATGTGTAAAGAGAGCAGATGTGCTTAATGAATGCCTACAATATATATATATATATATATATATATATATATATATGACTCATCCCCTGATGAAGGGAGGACCCCTCCCGAAACTGTTGAAAAATAAATATATTTATCCTTGTTTACAACGCTCCCGTTGTGCCATATCCCATACCTTCACAAAGACTAACTGGCCCATTGAATTATTACTCCCACTATATATATATATATATATATATATATATATATATATATATATATATATATATATATATATATATATATATATATATATATATATATACACACACACACACACACACACACACACACACAGTACACTAGCAATGATTAACACCATGATAATACATACTTTAGGTTAATTCATACTTTTTGCAGTTACACACCAGAAAATATCTGCTGCTTTCCCACTACTGTTTAAAAATTTGTGTGCTTATATAACCCTAACAGTCTAAAAATGACAACTAAGCACTTCAGGCCTTCGATGAAAAAGGCTCTGCTAGTAAACAAATGTTTTAAATGAAGCACATGCATGGTAAACTGTGACGCTTCTCAACTGGTATAGAGAGCTTTGTGCTCAAGGCACACACCTCTAGCAAAGAAGCAGTTGGCAATTCACCATTTCTTTACAAGGTCTGTTCCACAGTGAATGACCAATAAACTTGTGAACCTTACACCTTTGCTTTCTCTTCATTGCATGCAGTTAGTGTTTTAAAAACACCTTAAAATTTTTAATTGTGATAAAATCAATGCTTAATCATAATGTGTTGTGCCACCTCACCCAGGATCATCTATCAGAGAACATCTGATAAATCAAACAAAATTTGGCCGTGTGTGTGATATTATAAATATATATATATATTGCCACGCTGTGTTGGTGGCAGAAGACGAGAGCGAAGAAGTGAATGGCAGCTGTGGCTGAGTAAACAGTCCTTCACTTCGAGTTCCAGCCTATCGTTTCCTCTCGCGACAGACTGGTGGACGTGCTGGGTACTGTACTTTACCGTCTTATGCCTGCTGGTCCTGAACCAGAAGCAACCACCGCCAGTGCACCAGGGTCTGCTAATATCTATCGAAGCAGCCGCCGCCTTCAAAGACTACCACCACAGTACGGCCCCTTGGCAAGTTCCGTGAGGACAATCTTTGCCACATCCGCAACCCAAACCGAGCATGACCCTCTTGCTATCACGGTGTCACCGCCCCCATGGCAGACGCTTCGGAAGATGTCTGCTTTGCGGACTATATCGATGCGGACTCAAGTGCAGTGGTGTGTGGTGGAGACTCACGGATAGCGACATAATATGTCAGGTGAGAAGTGCAGAACCTGTCGCTGCCAGTGATGATGATGAGTAGGAAGACGAAACACCAGTGCGGTCCTCTGCTGCGGAAGTAATGGCCGGATTGAATGCCGCCCGTCTTTTCTTAAGTTTTGAAGAAGGCGGAGAAGAGGCCTTCCGCCGGAATTCGCTCGTTTGAGCAAAAAGTGCTCGCTGTCGCCTTCAAGGAAAGAAGGCAGACCGCGATCACAGATTTTTTTTCAAAAAATAAATTGTTATGCCCTACTCGCAGTGTACTATTGTTGTTCTTCACTTTAGTTGGTTCGAACTTTTATTAATTCGAACTGAGGCGGCTTCCCCTTGCGGTTTGAATTAACGAGCTTTTACTGTAGCAATTATGCAGCTCATAAAGTAGACTGCTAATACAGCGGTAGATTAGAAGTAATAGAGTAGTACAAAGACATCAAGCATTTTGGTGCTCCTGTTATTTACTTGTGATTAAGGTGGAGCTTTCTGTAGGCCTCAAGCGAACCTTTGGTGCAACCAGCTGCATCGTCTCTTAATGGTTCATTTGTGTGCACCCCAGATAAATACATAGAAAAGATTTTTGACTGCAATAAATGTTTTGTGTACATATTGTGCTTTGCGATACAAAATGTCGGGTATTCGAATATTTTTACTCCACCTTCAGATCCTGTACCACCACATTGCTTGTGCTACTTTTGCCACCATAGAACACCAGTCAGTATACACCAATGCACAACGAAAGATACAATATGGAAAGATGGGAATGTAGCAAGCACCTCTTTGCAGGGCAGTGTTCCTGGGTCGTGAATAGCACACGTGAGTAGGTGCTGCACTACATTGAGCAACTGCTGTTCCGACTTGGTGTCGTGATTGATCAGGCCCAGCTGGAGAGTGTTCAAGCTCGGAATCTTGTCCACATCTGTTGAAAGAGAGGCATCTCGCTGAGATTTTTGCCGACCCATCGCAACAAGAGGTGTGATTGTTATAGCTCGCTTCGAACTTTACGATGTTGAAAGACTGGGCATGCAGGAACGAACACAACACAGACTTTAACACGGCTAGTCGTATAAAACTGGTATTAGAATGATACAAATAAAGTTCTTAATTAAAGAAAAATCCTCACAACATAGCCAAACAGCCAAAACAAAATTACAGGTCAACGTTAAGGCCAACAGAAAAATCATGCGCGTGAATGTAATTCTGAATGAAGTGTCAGCTTTCTGACACGCGAAAGCAGTGCTTGCACTTTGTTTAGAGAAATTACAGGAGTATGCTTGTGCAAATATTCAAGTGAATATTAATGTATTCAAATTCAGTTCTATTAGAATATAAGTTGTTGGAAATTTCGATGTGTTTGAAGTGATGAAAAAAAATATTAGTTCAGATGTAACCTCCTGTATAGGTGTTTTCTCTGCAGTGAAAGGGTGCTACACCATGAATGCACTTTTTCTAGTAAAATCTGCACTACTGCGAAGCTTCACTTCAAGGTTAAATGAACATATTACACTCACATCGATTCATCGCTTCTTTAAGTTTAAAAATAAAGCTTGTTACTAGAGCTGTGCAAATAGCAAAATCTTGGGTGCAAAGCGTATTCGAATATTGAAGGGCCACTCACCAGGCCCCATACCGAATTTTAGTTAGATAGTGGAAGTTGTTTCCGGTAGACACATGCCAAGCAACATAAGCGGAGCCGTCTTTTACAATTCACAGCTTCCACTACCCTCGACACAGCCGATGAGTAACATAAAGCCTGCACAACCTCTGCACTCTCGTATTCGTTCCCGCGTCTCGTCGTTGCTGTATTTGCTGAAATGTCACCTGTACGAAGACAACACCCAGACGGCACGACTGTGAGCTAGTTCTGGAAGAGCAGGGTGAATCGAATGGATCTGTAAGCTAGCCCTAGCGTGTGCGAGATGGTTGTCTGTGTCCCCAGCGATTTGCACCCGATGAATCTTCAGTGCGTGATCTGTGCAATGAACGCTGCGGAATATCGACCAAGTAGCCCCATCCAAAGCAGTGCAAATTGCTAACTTTTGTGGGGGAGCACGTGCGCCCAGCCTCCCTTATACTCTTTCAGCAGTGTGACAGCCTAGTTGCGGGGACACGACTGTCCCCTTGGTGTAAATAAAGCCTCTTTCGATAGAATGAAACACTCCCGCGGCCAGCACTCCAGATTTCCCCATTCCCGGCACACAGAACGGGTTTCACTCCCTCAGCGAAGAAACAGACTTTTGTCAGGAAGAGGGAGACCGGATTAGTGAACAAAACTAGCGTGCGGACAGCCGCACGCGCTCTCCGACACCGGCTTAGAAAGAAGGAGGTCGAACCCGCAACCCTCTGTGAGCCGAGGACGACAACGACCAAGGAGTAAGCGTCTACTCTTGCTTTCTGTAGTATCTCCTCCCAACATTTATGTGTTATTGCTAACGTATAGCAATAAAGTGTGTTGTTGACCTAGCTTGTTGCCTTATTCGCCTGAACCCGTGTAGCTGCGACAAGACGAGCTACAGATAGGAGACGTTAATCGCTGCACGGTACGACTGTGTGCGGCTGGAACATTAGCTATAAGCTTCTGCGTCAGCCGTACATAAGACGGACCCCTGACACTTTGAAGAGAGAAGTCGCTTTAATCAAGAAAGTGGAAAAAGCATGTCGAAGCAAGTCGTGCATCGCCAAAAAATTCGGCATCCTTTTGTCAACCCTCTCGACAGTGCATACGGTTTTGGAAGGCTTCGAGCAAAGCTTCCTGAGCAAGCGGAAACGCGTTCAAGCTTCCGAATTCCCGGACGTGAAAGCAGCACTTTTGTTGTGGCTCCACAACGTTTGAGCAGCCAATCTTCCGGTGACAACCCAAGTGATAATGAAAACTTTGGCACTGCAGATGGGCTACGTGGACTTGAGCTGCAGCAATGGCTGGTTCGAGAGGTTTAAAAAGAGAAACAACGCGTCATCGAAGCCTATTCACGACGAAAGCAGCACTGTCGATGAACAGGCTGCAGACGCATGGCACAACCTACGCCTCGCCGTGCTGCGAAATGAGTACGTGGACAGGGACATTTTTCATCTCAATGATGCTGCTCTCATATATTATTGCCTAACCGCACTTACACACCAAAAGGCGAAGCGTGCTCAGGTGCCAAGCAACGCAAAGACAGAAGTACCATTCTTTTTGGTGCCAACGCTACTGGCGATGAAAAGCTACCCCTCCTCATCATTGACAAGTCGCTGAATCCCAGGTGTTTTCGGAATGCACGGCTCCAGAGGGATGTGACCTACCGCGCAAATAAAACAGCCTAAATGATGGCGGCGCTTTTCGAAGGGTATGTCTGTGCAATTGACCAGAACATGGCTAAGGATGGTTGGAAAGTGTTGTTTGTTGTGGATAACTGCCCAGGTCACGGAAAAATCAACAACTTGGCGGCTGTTACGCTTGAGTTCCTGCCAACAAATATGACGTCTGTTCTCCAGCCTACGGACCAGGGAGCCATTGAGGTGGCCCGAAAATATAATAGGAAAAGCCTGCAGCACCGTATTGTGCTGTCATACGACAACGGGAAGAAGTATCAGATCGATCTGCTGGGTGCAGTCAATCTGATGGCCGAAGCTCGGCGCCAATCTGGCGATTGCCAACTGCTCCGCTCATGCTGGGTTTTGCTTGCGTCCCGGCATCGATCGAAGAAAACATTGGCGCGAAATTCAGCGCTGTGATGAGCTATGCAGTGACGCGCACAAGACAACCGGCTGCGTGAGTCATATTGAAGACTGTGAGATCGCCTTTCAGGAGTAGCGCTCTACAAGGCGGACCTCCCCTTTACCAGTACGCTGTCGAACGCGATATTGTTGAAATGGCCGTGAACTACGAAGATGACCACGCAGAAGAGGAAGAGCCGCCCTGAAATGTGGCCACGAGACAGAAATGCATAACATGCTGCGCTTGCTCCGCAACAAGGTCGAACGCAGCGGTGGCGACCAACGGCTCATGCGATGTGTTGAGCAATTGGAAAACACCTTTCTCGGACCGAACACGAAACAGGCAACCATCCCTGCAATCTTTTGGTCCTCGGTAATAAATTCTTTTTCACTACGAATTCTCGTGCCTTCACTACAGTAAATCTCTCGTGCAGTCGAATTTTTTCCGACAACACTGGCTTTTCTTTTGCAGTGACCTGGACAAAGAGTTTCAGCGTTTTGCTCAACTCGAAATACTGTTTATCTCAAAATTTTCTCCGGATTTGACAGGCTTCGATTTAAAAAGGGATTACCTTATGTTTATAACCTTTCTCAAATACTCTGAAGTGAAAACTACAGGAACAAAGTTGCAGAGGATCGGTAAGCACATTCTTATGTGACAGGAACATGGAAATGTTTCTTTAAGCTAGGTTGATGGAGCGCTGCAAGGATGTTGTTCCCTAGTTGTTTCATCAAGAATGAAGCAATGCAGAGACCGAATCGTATGTATTTACATGATTTGGTGCAATCGATGTGTCAACAACACTCTACACATGAAAGAAAACACTATTTCGACCACCTCTCCCCTCTTCAACAACTGTAAAGGCCCAACTGATTAGGCGGACAAGGACGTGCTATCTTCGAATTCAGAGTTCCTAATTAGCCCTGTAAACATTGGTGTATATAAATATCTGAAATTTTGGATGCTGAAAATATATGTCAGATGTTTTTTTTCAGACTTTGGTACAGAACAGCACTAAAACGAAACAGCACTTTGGTCCAAAACAGCACGAAACAGCAATCATAAAGCCCCCAGATATGTTGCGAGGTTTGAACCGGCAATTTCATTAGTTCATCCACTTATAACCGTTTGCTGCAGTACCAGAATGTTGTGTAGGAAAGCATAATATCAATATGAAGGGGCCACTGTAACGACACTGTGCATCTCTATGTTGAAATCGGCATTTTCTCTAATTATGAATACATTTGCTACCATAGCACTGTATGAGAGGCAGCTTCGCTGTAATGTGATAATGTGATGAAGTGAAGAATATAAAAAAATATGAAGGAAACGTTGCTAATAAAACATTTACTGTATTTGTCTTCGAGAAGTTCGAATGGTCAAAATTCCAGTGCGAATTGAATCGAATAGCAAACGCTATTTGAAAAATATACAAAAGTTGAAATATTTGCACACCTCACTGGTTATACTTTCTTATATGCTCAAAGTAATAGTAATTTTAAAACTTGACATGGTTTAAAACGACATGGTTGACATGGTTTAAAACTTGACATGACTGGTTACCACTTGCATTCTATTAAAAGTTAAATCGTGCTACTTTTTCAAAGTTTCTTGCAGTTTTTTTCAACTAAAAAATGGCATATGACATGACTTGTTTCAAATAAAAAAATGTTGTGCAGGTTGGTTAGGGTATGACAAATACACTCATTTTTCTTAGCAATATGTAATATACGTTACTCAAATTCCGATTCGAAATCATTCAAACAAAATAATTATTCACTTTCAATCTAATACTTACTACCTCTTTGCACACACCTAAGAACAGGTCTTCTTTACAAAGCGAATGAAATTAAAGGGTAACCTACATACCCTCTTTTTTACTTTCTTTCTCACATTTGACTATGCATTCAAACAAACTTAATCATTTTGCCAGTAGCACCATTTATTCTAAAAGAATGAGGATGTTATCTTATCTAGGCCGAGAACCCTCATGATTCATGATACTGTTACGCACATATAGACGATGGCCTGACTCACCAAAATGCAGCGTTTCACCAAAATTGTGAAGAAATTCTCGAACCATCAAAAGATTGGCAAATGCAGTGCCCGGAACCTTTAGTCCAGGTATCCTATTTAGCGTTGGCAAAGGCTGCAAGGGAAAAAACTACACTTCAATCGTTGGTGCTATGAGGAACAAGCTAAACATATTTAAAAGCAAATAGACCTGCTTAAGCATTTTCATTTCTTTTTCTATCTTTGCTTCAAGGTCGGTGGACAGAAACATCACAAAAAGCATTGAAAAATAACTTTGGTCTCGCTCAAAACAAGGCCACTTAATGAAGAACTCCTTGTTGATTGTTTTCTTGCGATGACATGATGCATGAAGAGAATGTGATTTCAGCCACAATTTATTTAACAAAAAGAAGTCAGTCGCATCTGAGCACAAGATTTTCCCCGTGATATGCTGCTTATATAACGAGTGTGTACCGACCATTTTTTCCCAAATTATTACGTTAAGCGGTATTTTTCATTACCCCACATTTTACCCTACTCCTAAATTGGACGGAACATTACGAAGAGGTGCCCAGTATGTATCACAGTACATCATAGACGTGTATGGTGGCACTGAAGTCAAGTGCGACGTTTCTGCTGGAGTGGCACAACATCGTCTCTTCATGTTGGTTCACTTGAAGACAGAGGGGGTCTCTATTGTTCAGGCTTATATTTATGAGATGTTTACTTGGGGATCGAGACGCAGCTTGAGAAGCGATTGGCCTGGCATACGCCCTATGAGGAACCGACATGGCCGGCTCTTCTCTCCAGCAGCTTTCTGTTGCCAACCATCCACACCGACAACTACAGTGCCGTTGGTCACGCTTCCACCTGTCGCATGGTCAATTCTCAATATCATTGACCTGTACAGCAAGCATCAGTTAATACACTGAAAGCAAAATCAAAGGCCTGATTCATAATTCAAAGCATAGCAAAATTTAAAGTACAAACCCTGTACCATGAATGAGTAGAAGATGGTGAAAAGATATCAATGTGAGATAGGTGGTGTAAGATTTTTCAGTTATGCTCTGTGCCGGGGAGTTGTTAATTTAAACCATTGCAATTTCATTCAAAGTTTGCTTTTTGGATAAGGATTGCTGAAAATATCTGCCCCAGTAAAGCTGCATTGATTATAATTTAAAATCGGTTGTCTCAGTTTTTGCTTATTGATGACCAGCAAAAACTGGTAATTACTCTACTGTAATAAAGAAGATCAGCGCCATTCTGAAAGGCAGAGGGTACCCATCTCATACACGAAGGCGATGACTTTCAGTGTTAGTGCATCACAATTGACCGTCGCGCCTGCTGAGCCGCGACGGTTGATGCAGTTTATTGAAAAGGTGCTACATCGAAATGCTATCGTTTACTATAATTGCTAAATAAATCTCATTCACCCAGCTACCTTATGGCAATTACCCAACAAGTAGGTTAATTACACTCTGGCTTGAAACCCTGGTACGAAGACATTTGAAAGAACTTTTCTATCACAGGTACACACATAACACAAGAGGTAATGCTTCAAAAAAGAAAGCTTACAAGAGCGTCCTTCAGAAGCATGTCCTCGACAGGTCTCCTGACCTCCTTCAAAATATGCATATCCAGTTTCTTTGAATCCTGTCCAAAAAAAAAAAAAAAGAAAGCATTTTGAATGCCCCATCTACCTAAGCAGCACATGTACAGGTCCACTGTCTAGCTTTCTCTAACGCTCAGTGATTATTGGAAGAAATCTAAGATGCGTAACGTCCCTATGAAAATCATAAACAATAAAAGAACTAAGTCCTTCCAAACAATCCAAAGAGAAACATAATTAGAGCTTAAGAAAGGGTTGATTGCAAAGGTACAGGCAACATAGACATCCACTCTGTTTATTACCCATACCTCCATCTTCTTGCGGTTTTCCAGGGCACGAACGAGCAGCATGTGCTGTCTCCTCCTCTCCCGTTCCTAGAGTAAAGAAAAGGGAGGCATGTCACAAAAAAGGAAGCAGGGCTAGCTGCTTTATTGCAGGAAAGACGACAGGTGGAAAAAAGACGGAAAAAGATGATCCCCACTGCACAGCTTCATATTTTCTATTCATTCAATTCTGACCTTCAGTGATGCACACTGTCCCTCAGAAAATCGTTCCAGAGTTCTGACACCAATGTGCTATTGTGAAAACAAACTTTTAAGCATGTAATCTGCTTTACTGCTCAGAACTCATTAGCTATGGGGTAAAAAATGCAGCTTCTGGCACATATACTGGCTTTATTGACACGTTAGCATCACACTGTCCTTTGAACTAAACATAGTGCAAAGTAAAAATCATTTAGATTGCAAAATATACTCGGCAACACCTTTTCTTTCCATTACAGTAAAAGCTTGTTAACTTGGACACGTCATCTAGTCACTGTAAATATACGCATCACTCTATGAGACTAGGGCGCTCATTATTTTGGACAGATTTGACCATACATCGGATAATTGGGTGACTTTCAGGCCACAGGTGGGCTTGGAAACGAAAAAAAGAACCATTTAGAACAAAAGTGAAGCTAAGCCGCAAGCTGCCAGACTACTTGCGGCGCAATGGAAATATGCTTAAGCCCTGCCTTTGTAGCCTCCGCGCCTACGTCGAGATAAGATGTCGCTGAGTGTATCAACTGCTTGGTTTTCATCCTTAACATTTGTACAAATGCAACAAGACACAAAAAGTACTGAACTAAAGTAAAATAAAGAAAACTCACCAAGTCAACCATCAGAAGCATCTCACGGCGCTTCTGCATTTCCTACAAAGACAGAAGAAGAAAAATTCACATCAACTCAACATATGCATGTGAAGAAAGCTTGTTATGAGCAAAAATACCTTATAACCATAGATACATAGACAGATATCTAGGGTTTAACGTCCCCAAACCACCATATGGTTATGAGAGCCGCCGTAGTGGCGGGCTTTGGAAATTTTAACCAGCTGGTGTTCTTTAACGTGCACCCAAATCTGAACACACAGGCCTACAGCATTTTTGCTTCCATTAAAAATGCAGCCGCCGCAGCCCGGATTCGATCTTGCGACCTGCAGGTCAGCAGTCGAGTACCTTAACCACTAGATTACCGCGGCGGGGCTGAAACTAACCATTATTCTTACTCGAATTCTCAAGCCCTCCGAACAGAAGATAAATATACAATCATTGTCCTTTTATTTTTATATGTAAAATGGCAAAAGACAATTACACAGAATTGCATAACTTTTGGCCTTTTTTTCCTCGTTAGCAAAAGCACCTCACAGAAATTTCATGAGAAAGATCATACACAAAACAAGCGAGGGGGGGGGGAAAGCTTTTTTTTGCACATATGGCACAAAACACACTGACCGTTATAGCAGCGCAGGGCTCACGACAAAGCTCAACACACTCCCATGCAAAACACCCACTACATTCATTTCTTCAATGTAAGCACCCATCACAGCTAATACTAAAGCCACACACCCTAACGAACAACCCTGTGCGATAAATCACACCTTGCAGACCACAAAGCTACCACACAGGTTACCACACTATTCAAGATGAAAACTACAATCTCTACAGCTCTGCGAATAGCAAAATTTTGAGTGCAAAGTGGATTCGAATGTTGAATCAACATAAATATTTTTCTAATACATTTAGAATGCTTGGCAAATACTTCGAAGCGAAATTGCAGAAAAAAGCGTTGGGGAGGATTCCTAAGCATATTCTAATGAAATAGCAACATGAAAGTGTTTCTTCTGGCTAGGTTGATGTCGGAGTGATGTTTCATCATTGTTTTATCAAGAATGACGCAATGCAGAGGCAGAATTGTATTTATGTATGATGCAATGAAAGTGTTTGCACGTGAAAGGCAAAAACGCTGTTTCCCCAGCCTCTCTTCCAACTCCTTTGGAAGCCTAACTAATTCGGTAGACAAGGGTGTGCTCCCTTAAAGTCCGGAGTTCCAAATCTGCCTTGTAGAAGTCAATATGTAAGAACATAAAATTTCCTGTGCTAGAAATTTTAGGCATCCTATATTCACAAGAGTGGAAGCTTTGGCTAGTTGGTGCGTAGTCATATTTGCAAGTTTTTTCTTCTTCTTTTTGCCCAAATTATCTGCCCAGAACAGCGTTAACTGAGCCCCCACCTCTGTCACATCTCCATGTTGGAACCAGGGCTTGAGTGAATAAATTTGAGACTGTAGCAGAGCTTGAAAGGCAGCTTTGCCACGATGCGAAAATGTGATAGGGTGAAGCATATTAAAACTCCAAATGTGGCCATTGCCAATTGTATGCTGACAGCATCTGTCTTTGAGAAGTTCGAACAGCTTTGAACAGTAAAATTCCAGTGCGAATCGAATACACTTGAAAAATATTTGAAATTTAGAATATATGCACACCCCTACTTGTCTGTGCAAACGTTTGAGAGGTACAGAGGATTCAGCACAGCCCGGCAGAGGGCTACATGGCAGACAGACAAATCCAAGAGGCATTAAGTGTCAAAACAGGAAACAAAAGTGCATATCTTTTTACATGTCGCACACACCATACAATGATGCCGCAGCGTAAGGAAGTGTGTTTTAGGAGAAATTCACTAAAGTTTAGGAAGGCAAGGCAGCAAACATGCTCACCTGCTCTCGTAGAATTAAAGCTTGTTGCCTTTTTATTTCTCTTTCCTGAAGGCGGGTGAGGAAATAAAGGAGAAATAATAAGTGATGAGTAACACAAATGACCACGTCCTGCTGGTAAAGGGGCACCAGATAGAATAGTAAGTTAGCACACTGAAAACTGTCCTTCTGCGAAAATGAGATAACTATACTAGCAGACAACTTTTCTCGGCAATGAAGGGAATGTTATGGAGCCAAAGTGGCCGTGTGTCACTGCTGAAAAATATGGTCCCTCTATTTTGTCTATGTTTTTCCCCATAAAAATAATAAAAAACAACACTACCTTATCTTCAACGAGATGCTATTTATAAAGAGACGCTGCACAGACCTAGGAGAAGTTGATATTTGCTTTACTTATGCAGTGTCATTTTGCATTGTTGCACGTGTGAAAACGAGCACTTCACAGTCGCATTGGCATCATCTTCAGGCAACGACTTGTGGAAGGAGCTTGTGATGAATTTTGCTCACAAATGGCTGTCTAAGCAGGCGTGGCAAATGATGCACAATTTTATTAATTTGAAACACGAGCCGAACCCGACTGCTTTGCGATGGAGTGCAGAAGCTCCACCCCCGTGGCTTTCCCTTCATTGTCAAGAAGAGTATCGAGCAGCCAGAAGACACAGGTCCTGCAACACTTTTTGACCATGGTCAGGAAATTCTGCTGATTGATGTTCGATGCTCCTGTGAATGTGTGAGCCAAACATTATAGTGCAGCGTGTGGCAGCTAACTTCCAGTCAAATTTAAAAGTTAGCTAGAAATTGTCTGCTCTTCTCTCGACAAATGTGTGTCGTACCCAAAATCAACTGCGTCACGCACCCAAATGCTATGACCATTTGACCATTGTGAGCTGCATAGTTACTGCAGCCACTAAATGTCTTGGTGTGGGCGAGTGAGCTGCACGTGCAATAGAAAAAGTTACGACTTGTGCCGACCATAGAGTTTTCTAAAGTTAACCAGAGGGGACTCTGCAGTCGTTCAGCTACCATGGGTATGATGGGTAGTACACAAATTCGCATTGCCTTCATGTATAAATTGTTTTCATTAAATAAAGTTTTTCATTCCATTTGGGCTTCGAACGCACTTGTAACTTCATTTATTGCAGTGTTGCCGTTTTGTTTTGAAGGAAAGAACGAACCCTTTCGAACTTCATGACCCGATTTGAATTGGTGAGCCTAAAATATTCAGGTGGTGAACCGTAACCGCCGAACATTAGCCGATTGTTGTTTCGTGACAAAGTGGCTTCAAGACGCGCGAAGCCAGAAGGAACGTAAAGTACGAAGACTAGGCCAGTCCATGTACTACCCGTCATTCCCATGCTTGCTGACAAGCCCTGCATTGCAGCTCCCATGGACACTACCGCCAGATGTTCCCTCTGGCGTAGTCTTCATAAAAGACTCTATGGTCCCAACCATAGAGTTTTATACAATAACACCTAGAGCGGAATTTGGTGCTGCGATCGTGTACCTCCATGGGAATTATGGGAAGTACAGGCTTTGGATCGAATTGCATTAGCTAGCGAACCATCCATGAATCCTTTTCTACAGTTTCAGTTCCGTTCTTCTGCAGCGTTGGTAGTGGGGTGCGGTGCAAAGAACTGAAGCTGCGCCTTTGTTGTTCAAAGAGGCTGAAGACCAGAAGGTTTGAGATTCGTTGTGGCTTCAGATGTTTACGAGTCGTATTTAACAGTTTGAGCGAAGCGTCGTCCATTCACCGCTGCACATAGAAGTAGCGTCTCATGCCAGTGCAGAATAATACAGCCAGTTCACGTTTTTTCATGAGCGCGTATCGCCAAAACTTGTCTAAATCGACTCCTTAACGACAGCAAAGCTAAGTAGAAGCACCCTACGCTCCTCTGACTTGACTTCACAACAAAACGAGAGGTGCGTTGGTGGCAGTCCACTAGGACAGGCACACCTTGGCATCGCAGCAGACGAAACGTTGAGTGTTTCTCACCTCATACTGTACTGTTACTTCCATAAATAGATATCGAATACTTTCGATGGCAAAATAAGAATGTTCCTTTTCAAATGTTGTAAAAAATAATTCATTACATCTTGATGCCAAATCTCGAACGCAACGACAGGAGCAATGCATACTCTGGTGGTTATATTTGTCCAGGTTTCACTTCTACCGTATAAGCATAGAAACATTTTGCAAAAAAACTTACGTACAAAGGAATGAAGTAAATTTAATTTATTTATGACTTCATATGGCTTTAACACTAGGCAAACAAGCGTCGCGAATCTCAAGACCACGATCCATCCAATGCAAATCTGAAGCCTGTACTTCACATAATTCCCATGAGGGTACAAGCGCTGCTGAAGGAGCCCGCGTAAACACTAGCACCAGGTTCCTCTATAGGTACTACAGTCAAATCTCATTAATTCGAACAGGCTCAATTCGACATTCCGGTTAATTCGAACTCACAATGAGGTCCCGTCAAAGCTATGTGTATTCTGATGAGTGAAAACGCCCGGTAATTCGAACACGCAAGCCCTTGCGACAGTTAATTCGAACGTACCGCGCTCCAAAAATTCTCTCAGCACTTCACCCAATCCCACGGCAGCACCTCCGACATTTCAACACTGCGCGCGAAGAAAAGGAAAAGGAAAGAAAAGGCAGCGGTGGAATGTTTGCTTTCTATAAAATGCCGATCTGCGAAACGGCATGTGCCACACTTCTCTCTTTTCCGCCCCTGCCACTTGAAGACCTTTCTCCTTACAATGCCGCGCGCAATGAGAGAGAGAGGGAGGGGGGAAAAAAGGAAAGCTGTCACGGAGTGTGTCTTTCACATGCCAGTGCCATGCTTCTCCTTTCTTGTCCCTGCCATGTAACCCTTCTTTCAACGATGCACGCAACGCAAGAGAGCAAAAAAAAAAAAAAATGCCGTGGAGTGTTGGTTTTTTTCTTAAATGCCGATCTGCTTCTCTCCGCGAGGAGACGCTCCTACATTCTCGTCACGTGCTGGCCACACTGCAGCTTTGGCACAGAGGGTAGTAGCGGAGATGCAGTCGTCATTGTCGTCATCTTTACATAGTGTCGGTGCTGGACAACATCTCTTGTCAGGAGAATGCTGAAGCCGAAGCAGACATGCTTTGCAAGCTACGTGCGAAATTGATTGACTCGCTGCAAGGCAAACGTGTGCAGACGCGCATCACCGATTCCTACAATTAATGAGGAATGTGCCGATTTTTGTGAATAAAAGCAAGTTTTCTGAAACTTCCCTCTCGTGTGTTAGCTCAATGCACATGCGCCACTGCATGAGGAGCCCTCCGTTTACTCAGCTTTCATTAATTCAAAATTCTTTTTTCGTTCAAGTTATCAAGATTCGACTGTATTGTATGAAACTCTCTGGTCCTGACGTAGCTTCTTGCCCCCCTGCATAACGTTCAGCAAGCTTGCGGGGATCAAAGAACAGAGAAAGCACTTAAGAACATGCCACAAATTCTTGCACTCTGGTCGTATGAGACAGATTCCAAAAATTTTCGCAACAGTCCATTTGTGGGGCAATAAACTGTGACTGCAAGGTCATTTTATTCTTACATAATGGCGTAAGAGTAGCACAAAATGACAATGAAAAGAAAGTGAACACCACAAGCGAAGAACTTGCTGAGGTTTTCCATATTGACACGAGGGCTCCTATGTGTGTTAGCAATCTTTATTTGGCCTCATCAGAAAAAGAAGACTCAAGGAAAGGGGGTAGCCTGTTGAGGGAGGTTGGAGGAGGTGTGTTCTTGTCCTGGTTTTTGCCTTTTGCCTTGCCCATGATGCACATGCGCGGCAATTAGTCGAGCATAAACTTTAGATACACATTTTCTGTTCAAGCAATAACTTTCAATTGTGAGTAAGCGCTTGTGTTCACTTTCTTGTCTGCACCTTTATGCGCTACTTTTGCGCCATTATGAATCAGTACCGACTAGCTCGCCTCTCCTTTTTACGTCATTTTTTTTATTACTAAAAAGGTGCCGCAGGGTCCCTCAAAAGATGAATGGTTGTGGCTAATTATTAATCTCGCACTAGTGTGAATATTATCTTGAACATAAAAAAAGGTACTGCTGAATTCCCGGCATCGTCACACAGTGCTACTGCTGAGTTATCAGTGCAAAAATTTGTTCAGTGCAATCAATATTATTTTGGCTTTAATTATACACATAGCAGCAAAATTAATAGAAACATATTTTATAATGATACTTAACCAATATAAACTGATTTGACACTTCTCTATAGTGCACATTTATAGTGCACAGACCGTTTACTTTCCTAGCGAGAGAAGACGTCACCTTTGAGTGGAATAACAAAGAGGAAGCTGCTTTTAACGATCTTCGCCAGCAACTACAAACACCTTCAGCCCTTGCCCTCTTTGACGAGAGAGCCCCTTCGATGCTTCACACCGATGCTAGCAATGTTGGTCTGGGAGCTGTGCTTGTGCAGCAGCAAGAAGGCACAGAAAGGGTAATCGCTTACGCAAGCAGAACGTTAACACGCGCTGAGGCTAATTACTCCACGACTGAGAAGGAATGTCTCGCCGTGGTATGGGTGGTTACAAAATTTCGTCCGTATTTATATGGCCGCCCCTTCAAAGTAATTAGCGACCACCACTCACTGTGTTGGTTAACAAATCTTAAGGACCCTACCGGCCGATTAGCGCGTTGGAGTCTCAGGCTGCAGGAATTCAATATGGCAGTCGTAACATAAGTCAAGGAAGCGACATATGGACGCCGACTGTTTGTCCCGTTCACCCATTGAGTCGGCGACCCTACCCGAGGAGGAGGAAACATCATTTCTCGGTGTCCTCGACACGACCACCATTGCGCAGCAACAACATGACGATGCTGAGTTGCTTGGCTTAATTACCTACTTGGATGGCAGATCTCGGAAGGCGCCAAGAGTTTTGGCAAGGGTATTGTCATCGTTTTGTTTACAGGGTGGAGTACTCTACCAAAGAAATTTTTCGTCGACGGGATCTGCCTATCTACTCGTCATCCCAGCAGCCCTGTGCACCGAAGTACTGAAAGCATGCCACAACGAGGTTACCTCTGGCCACTTGGGTTACACAAGAACGTTGGCCAGGGTACAGCAAAAGTATTACTGGCCAAGACTAACCACAGCCGTGAAGAACCACGTTCGTACCTGTCTCGACTGCCAGCGATGCAAGTCACCACCAACTAAGCCAGCTGGCCTCCTACAACCCGTACAGGTCCCAATGACTCCATTCCACCAGATTGTCATGGACATTTTGGGCCCACTCCCTACTTCTACTGCAGGCAACCTATGGGTTATCGTCGCGACAGATTATCTGACCCGTTATGTCGAGACAAAGGCTATCCAGAGAGGTACAGCAGCGGAGGTGGCAAGATTTTTCATCGAGAATATTGTACTGAGGCTTGGTGCACCAACCGTCGTAATCACAGACAGAGGAACCGCATTTACGGCAGCTCTTTTGCATCACTTCCTGATGCTGAGTGGAACAAAGCATCGTAAGACCACCGCCTACCACCCGCAAACGAACGGGCTGACAGAGCGTCTAAACAAAACTATTGAAGACATGCTTTCGATGTACGTAGACGTTGAACACAAAAATTCGCATCAAATCTTGCCATACTTAACGTTTGCATACAACACGGCCAAGCAAGAAACGACCCGCATGACACCGTTCAGCCTCATTCATGGACGGGAAGTACGAACCATGTTAGATGCAATGTTACCGCACGAAGGTGACGACATCGTCCCGGATGCCGACACATTTACCGAACGCGCGGAAGAAGCTAGGCAACTTGCACGTTTACCGATCAGCCAGCAGCAAGAGTACGATGCAGGCCGCTACAATGCTCACCGCAGAACAGTCATCTACCAAACTGGCGACAAAGTATGGGTTTGCACGCCGGTACGGAAACAAGACTTTCCGAAAATCTCTTAAGAAGATACTTTGGGCCATACCGGGTGCTGCAACAACTGAGCGATGTCACTTACGAAGTTGTTCCTGACAGTTCATATAGTACAAGGCGTCGCCAGCACCATCCTGAACTCATTCACGTAGCCCACATGAAGCCTTACGTGAGCGAGTGATTGTGTGAGACTTTTCTTGAGAAAAAAAAACTTCATTATAGACTTCGCATCGGGGCGATGCTCTTTGAGAGGGAGGCAAAATGACGCGTGTCTACATGTGGACGAAAACGATGATGATGGGCGATTTAGTGGACATGAGTAGTGGGCCTCTAGCTTCACTCGAGACCGTAGAAGACGATCTTGTGGCTCAGCTGTTGAGAACACGCTGCTTTCATTGCCTCAACGTGTACCTGTGTTTTATTCGCGTTGTACCGCGACAAAATATATATATATATATATATATATATATATATATATATATATATATATTCCAGCGACATCTTGCCTGCATTCAAACAACGCGTCGTTACAATATACTACCGTGTACCGAATAACATGAAAAATATTCAAATTATGTTTTTTAATACTCTTTCAGAATATAAAAATTGTGAACGTCTATTGCAAAGTGTCCGAAAATAATTGTCAAGCATTCCGGCTGAAAAAATGCGAAAGTGCTGAATAAACATCGCAACAATCAAAATATGTTAGTTTAAGACATCTTTATAAATAAAACAATGACTTTGTCACGCATTCAGTGCCATATCATTCATACATGAATTGTGGATTCTTCTGTCAGCCTCGGAGCAAGAAGCTGGTTCTGAAAAGAAAAACGTCAGTTGCTCGGCACGCACAAGAAAAATCAATTGGCTGTTTAACTAAATAGTGCCTCGTAGTCTACTGAATAAGCGATATTTCATCACTGTGATAAATGAGATTTAAAAACACTGATTACAACAACTGAGTGGATCACTGTTGTGACAAACACCACCTAATTTGCTGCGGCTGCAGCCCCGAGGAAGCGTCCGTCACTCGTTTCCCCGTCTCTCTCTACCCCACCCCGTCTCGCTGCAGCGGCCACAACTGACCCTACGGCTGACACGCGCTCTCCCATAGAAAGCCGCTCCACGTGGCAGGCCGTATCGTGCGCTCTTTCATCCAGCGGCCGTGGTACAATAAAGTGTTGCGACCTTGAGCAGTATCGTGTTCTTGCCACAGCGACGGTTAACCCATGCCCTGCAGCTCACTACAATCGAAGCCACGCTAGTGGCCATACTCCTTCGGGATACGGGTACACTACAACGTGCGATTGTCAACTGCCTAGTCGATAAGCTGACGCACAGTGTCCAAATAAAAACACTCAATGATCAATGAACAATCATGTGCATGGTGCATTCAGAGAACACCTGTCTTGGCTAGGCTGTTCGAGGACCCTATTTTTAAGCGCCGTTACTGCCATCCTTAATATCTTATCCGAACACTGCCATCATGTGATAAAAAGACAGTTTCACTGGAATGGCGAAGTACCAAATCTGATGGCAACAAATTGTAGGCGCTGGTAGCCAACTACTCCCTTGGATCCAATATCGCGTGACTGTACAAAACGGGGAGAGATGCTCTTTTCGCCGTCTCTTTGTGTTGAGAGCACAGCACGAAGAAGGGTTCACAAGCTATTCACACTGATACCTGCAGTGATCACGCGCACATAGCGATCGCGATCACGCCCTTAGGATCAAAGTTCACAGCTGCTCTTGGAGAGATCACAGCCTTACGAAACCGCAACTATTAATGTTTCGATCAAACCAAAAGACAATGTTTCAACCACACTTCCAGGCATGGCGCTTGATGGCTTTTGAATTTTGCGGCTGAGTTGTGATGCTGCAGCACAGGATGGCACAGGTAAGCGAGTTTGGTGCTCAGTGGTGCAGCACTTCTGAGATGGGTGCAAGGAAAAGTGCGCAAGCAGGACACTAAAACATTGCACAGGTCATGAAAATGTTTTGCAGTAGTATGTCAACATGCAAATGCTCGTATAAACATTAGAAATCGCATAGCAACAACAGGCAGCCAACAGTCCTAGTAGTTCGCAACACAAGCCCAGACATCAGTGGAATCGCCTCTAGGTAACTAGGCCATGCATCTGCACCTATTAACATGCTCAACTTGATTGAATTTCCAGTCAATGGAATCGCAATAAACTGTGCAATTAGTACGACGGAACCCATAATCAAACACTTACAAAGGCTTTGACAGATGGCTCACACGTCACAAACACTCAGGCTGTGAGACACACCGACCTTTGGGCTGATACCGTTTCATGCTGGCAGTGCAGGGAAGAATTCTACAAGAGCTAGCTGCTGGCAGGCCACCATTTCTTGGACAGCTAGCTAATGTGAGAGCCCGCCTTAGCCGCATACTACTGATCGCTTTATTCGAGACGCAGTGCTGCTCTGCACTCAGCCGAACCTAATGAGGACATCCTATTGAAGCAAACTTGTGAGTACTTTTTTTCAAACTTGTCCGGGCCTATTTTAACCCTTGTAGGCTCCTAGTGCTACATTTATTGAGCAAGCCCTTCTGTGGCAGTTGCAGACATCTGGGCAAACATTACAAAGCCAATTATGTGAGGCGTGCAAAAGTGCATTTCCTAAACAGTACCTGGACTCTGCGAACAGCGTCGTCTTGGCGCTGTCTCTCTACATCCTCCCTCCGTTTGCGGCGGATCTGATTCGGGGAGACGTGTAACCATGCACAATCAACACACCACCCACAACCCTTTTTTCCAAGTGGTGCACAAAAAAAAAAAAAAAAAACCAACATCAAACCCTTCTTTTCATTGCTCTGTCGAGGCATGCTAGCCGAGCAAGATGCACACACCGCAACTACGACAGAGCAATCAACAAAGGTAACTGCAGGAAAGAAGGCAAAAAACAGACCCCAGTATTCTTTGATAGCTTAGAAATAGTCTTCCTGGGCAACTGGACACACAAACAAGCTATGGGACTGGCTATACACATTTGAACAACAAACAACACCCCTGCCCTCATTTGGAAAATTACAAAGATGTGTTTATGTGTCAGATCACATTCACATTTTTCAGACACCAGCAAATAACAGACGGGGATTTTTAGAAACCCATGCTCAATATGCAGTACCACACAGAGAGAATGGGACATTCAAGCTTCAAATAGAAAAAGAGCTAAAGAAAAGTACTCATGAAGGAAAGTTTCAAGTGTAAAAATACCGCACACATGTATAATCAGCAAAAAGTGTTTAAGTAAATCGCAATAGACATGTAAACAGCTGAGGAAGCAATAGAGGCAAGGAAAAAGAACCTCAATAGTCTGCTGAGTGCGCATTTCCTTCTCGATGCGCTGCTGCTCGAGGCGTTCAAAGCGTTCTTGCTGCTTGATCAACTTGACTTGTTCGTGGTGCCGCCTCGCTTCTTCAACTACAAAATAAAGAGAAAAGAATATTAATGTGACATAAAACACTGAAGGAGGCATCGTTTTTACAGAATAACTGGTAATGCTTTTTGTAAACAGATGGTTCTCCACTCCTCAAATTATATTCGATGTTTCAGAACACGTGTTCAAATGGCAAGCCCTTTCTCCAAAACAACAAGATGCCCACGGAGTGGACGCAGCCAGAGAACTCAGAATAACCTTCAAAGACTCGCTTTCTTTGTGCATCTGTTTCAGATTGGAAGAGAACCACAAAGCAAGAGGTTTGAACATGAGGAAATGCACTTTATGAAGAAACCAAGACGGTGGTGTTAATTCGCGCCCCCACCGAGGTCCACTTGCTATGGCTGAGAACAAACCAAGAACCTTGAGCTCAGCAGCACAATGCCATAGCTACTAAGTTACATCATGGTTGATGTATCCTAACTGAAAAAGCAAGAGAAAGTAGCTATACAAATGCAACATCGTAAGATACTGCAAACTACAATTTTATTAGCCCCGTCCCACTGGCACTGTCACGGGTAAGCAGATGGCGTAGACGACGCAGACAAAGTAGGAGGACCAGCACGTGGAAGAGGCACAAGCATATGTCTGGAGGAGTACACCTCTCATTGATGTGACACCAGCCGTAATGGAAGACAGCAATGCGATGAGCTGGCATTGTCTGTGTGGCTACGGGAGAAGAAGGTTGCATCAGCAGCTATGCTGTGTCGACGACACAGCAGGCTTTTTCTTCCAGAGGCCACATGTTGAGTCCACAACCTCCGTAGCATTGACCTCCGTAGCATTGTACTTACAACCAAGCGGCCGATCCCCTTTCGTCGTCACTACAATACATAGCTGTCAGCCACGCAGCCAGAAGCCTTCATCAGTTGCCGTCGGTGACGTGGCACGGTGTCATCAGTTAGGCCTAGTACGAGACCGGCCTTCTCCTCGAAGTGACGACGTGGCGTTCAGGTGATTGCTGCTGGCCGATGTTCAAAGGAAAACTGCGTCCAGTGCGTCCAGCACAGTTCTAAAATGCTGCAGCAACTCCAAGTAGCCTCGCCCGAGCATCGAGGTCAATGGCCACGCCACGAAGTGCCATCGTCACAACCTCCGGAACCAAATGCTACCGTTATCAGAGCGTAGCTGCCGACGCCATAGAGTTTACTAAATATACACTAAAGGGAACCCTGGCACTAGTGTCTATGAGAGCTGCAACGCACGACGCTTCAGTGAGCATAGGAATGATGAGTAATTGATTGATCTGTAGGGTTGAACGTCCCAAAACCACCATATGATTATGAGAGATGCCGTAGTGGAGGGCTCCGGAAATTTCGACCACCTGGAGTTCTTCAACGTGCGCCCAAATCTGAGCACACCGGCCTACAACATTTCCGCCTCCATCAGAAATGCAGCCGTAGCAGCCGGGATTCGATCCCGCGACCTGTGGGAATGATGAGTAGTACAAGAATTTGTCTAATCTTCGCACTTCTGGCTCTATGTGTGTCCGTGTGGCTTGGAGCTGTTTTCTCATAAAACAAAAATCAGCAAGTGTTGAGCGGTGCCGCTTCACCACATTATTCTTTTAGGCTTACCACTTAAAATTGGGCCACGAAGTTAAAAGGGTTCGTTCTTTCCTTCAAAACAATAACGAAACACAGCAATAAATGAAGCCACATGTGCGATTTGCTTTCCGCAAGTATGAAGACTCGGCAAATCTGTGTACTACCTATCATTCCCATGGTTGCTGAACAATTGCAGCACCAGAGTCCCCTCTAGTCAACTTTAGAAAACTCTATGATCCATGCAACCTTCTTCTCTTATAGACACGCAGGCAATGCCAGCTCATGGCATTGCCGTCTTTCATTACGGATCATGTCACACGCATCGAGCCTTGTACTCCCTGACGCATGCGATCGTGCATCAACTATGGGAATGATGGGTAGCACACGAATTTGCCTAGTCTTCATATTTGCGGGTGGCGAATCGCACTTGTGGGTTCGTTTATTGCTGTGTTTCGGTTTTGTTTCAAAGGAAAGAATGAACCCTTTTGAACATTATGAACCGATTTGAAACGGTAGGCCTAGAAGAACAAGGTGTAAAAGTGCAACTGCTGATTTTTGTTTTGTGAGAAAACAGCTCCAAGCCACCCGAACACAAATGAAGCAAGCAGTATGAAGATTAGACAAATCCGTGTATTACCTATCATTCCCATGGCTGCTGAAGTGTCATGCGCTGTAGCTCCCATAGACACAAGTGCTAATGTTCCCTCTAGTGTAACATTGGGAAAATCTATGATACTGCCAACGTACGATTTTCCGTACACCCAAAATTCCAAACATGCCTGATTTCCCGGACTCATCTCCGGTACCCTCAAATTTCCTATAGAATCATTGTATTGAAAAGTACGAAACTTCGGACACTTATAGCCTTCGTCATCCCATTGTCTGGACATTTTACTGCTAAGCGCAGACTAGAAGCCACCATCAAAACCAAAATTTTGGTTTTCGTACCTTCGAACCCACAATTCTCGCATCGCTTGCGCAGCGCGTCGTAGCTGCTGTACCCTCGAAACTGCAATTGACGCAATCTAGCACATGCAAATCCGTTGCCAGCCAAAGCTTAGTAAACCTGTGGTCAATCCTCACTGTTACAGTGCTCTAGATCACTCTATCACTGTGTTCGTTGATGTGTTGTTCTGTGCGGATAGAACTTGTACTGCAGCATGCTATATTTATCATTTATGTTTCCCGATATTCAACAGCCACAGAGTTTCTAGCTGTCTGGTGCTGAGCTTTTCGTCAAGTAAATCCTCCGAGACAGCCATCGCCGCCTGAGTGGACAGCGAGTGTGACGAACTTCCATCCACGAACGTAGCCTTCGACGAGCTGCACGCTGCCCACGTTTTGAATCCAGCCGGGATGACTTTTGAGTGCTTCGCCGACACTGACAAAGACCTCAAGCTGTAGCGGAATTAACCGATACCGAAATCATTTGTCAAGTTACAGAGGATTCCGATAAATCTGACGCCGAGATCGAAGAGGCTGCACCTACACGGCCAGCGAGCTAGGAGTAGACGCAAGCACAGATGACAATGTTATCGATGTACAGCAACAGGATGACCTTAGCTGAAATCGAGTGAGGCATCATCGCGGCAAGCTGAACGCCGTGCTAAAGAAGATAAGAAAGTTTTTGTGCCAAAATGTTGACGAATGAGGTAGTGCCGGCCATGTCGTATTTTTTTATATATAACGGCTCTCTTTGAGCAATCTAAATGGTGCACTCACTGAATAGACCTCTACTGGGGTACGTCACAGCGTGCCGTCACCAGTGCATGTGCAAAGCGGTGGTTGGCAAAACACTTCCGTCGGTGGCTGAGTGGGGTGCAGTCGCTCGGTGCTTGGGGCAAATTTTTTTTCTTTTTGATAACTTATTCTTCATCTCACAGTGGCAACATTAGCTGTGGTATGTGACAGAGAGCGTCTAGGTGTGTGATAAAGTGCATGATGAAATATTCGCCACGCTGGCTGGCTGTTTTTCTCGAAGAGGTGAACACACATGGCGGCCTGTGCGAGGAATGGCGGCCTGTGCGAGGAACAGCGGCATCGTCTTCGAAAATGTGCATTGTTGACTGTGGCGTGTAGTGTGCGTTAAAAGGCATCGACAATATTGGTTCACCTTTATGAATGGTGAAACTGGAAATATTGTGCGTGGTGTGTGCAGTGTGATTAACGCGATGCGTCCTGTTAGCGAAAACACTGGTATTCGTTGTGGGCCGATTTCAGTAACCGGTTGTCGATGGAAGTTTATGATCTGACATTGTACTCTAGGTAAAAATACATTTGACGCGATCATCTGCGAGTGGGTACATCTCAGCATATGCGCAGCGTGCAGAAACGTAGAAGTGCATGGCCTCCGGCTGATATGTACGACTACGCATGAGCTATAAGCATGTTGTAGCGTTGCCGAATCTGCATATACGTTTCACCACGGCTATAACTCGTATTATCGAATACCTGATACGTGTTAATGGAAACAGTCGAGATTTTCGTTTATCTACTTTGTAATTTTATGGCTCGATCTTTATGAAGTGGCAATGCACATTAGAAGTGTGTATCAGGCTTAAAGGAGCAATATAGGTACGAAAACACGTTATAAGTGTCAAATGCAGCAAGGTAACGGTACCAGATATTATATATTAAAATGTCGGGTTTTACATCACATGAATTTTCACTGGGTTATTGAGGAATGCAGCAGCAGAATTTTACTTTGATTTTCACGAGGATATGTTAACCTCAGCCTAACCCAAGCAAGAAGTGTTTCTTTTCTTTTCTTTTTTTTTTTCATTCATCTCCTATCAGACTTTTGGGCAATGAGTGAGACTAATTTTATCCGTGGCATTGCGCACAGCAGCTTAAAAGCCTGCTGCCGTCAATGCTGTACCTCGTTTAAAACTGCACTGCACATACCACGATGGATATTGAATAAGTTTACATTCATGCCATGCAAATATTTCTCAAAGTGCCAGTAACCGTGTACATTCAAAACGTTTGCTTTCGAAAACGATTAGATTTTTTTATGGTGCCATCGTGGGTGAAGCCCACTGCGTGCTAGTCGCGTCTCTCAGTACTCTAAACAAAGTTTCTCCATCCATCCAGCTATGACAAGCAAATTTCCACACTATGAGCAGTGACCCTTCCGCGACCCCCTTCTTCCAAAAACTGTGACTTAAAACATAGCAATGTAGAAATTTCTGTCGAAGGAATGAAGACACGCAGCTCTGCTATGCCAGAAAGATGCCGCTGGAGGAACTTTCTTGCAAACCAGCACCTGCTCGGAGAGAGGGTATGGGGGTGGGGTGCCCGCAGTGACGTCACACTGTTTACGAACAGGGAGAGGTTTATTGCAGTGAAAAAATTCTGTACTCCAGACGTGACCTTCTCCATCCACGAAAAATACCTGTAAAAAAGGTGCGTTTTCACGTGCATTCGTTTTTCTGGACTGCCTGGTTTTCCAGACATTTTCGTGGTCTCTTGAGGGTCCGGAAAATCAGACGTAGACTGCAATAGCACCATTTCTATTTCTATTTGAAATGTGAAGCATTTCTGTGCGAATCAAAGACATTGATTGTTTCTATCCACCTGTCCATCTATCTAGACACTGAAGTGAATATATAGGTTATATCGTGGTGACCTCCTTAAATGGTATTAACCAATCAGGGTATTCGCCAACAACAGCATTACTTACTGTTCAACCAAAAACTTTAATGATCACCAGACGCTTCAAAATGACCCCCGACGTAATTAATAGTCGATTAGTACATGGCTCATGGCTCTAAATGTCTCAAAATGCAAAGTAATGTCATTCACATGTAAATATAGCAGTTCCAAATTTTCATACAGCATTAATCAGTTCATTATCTCGATTGCAACACAATATTAGTACTTGGGCAGTATACTTATACCTACTCTATCATGGTTCGACCACGTTGAAGCAATCTTTGCCAACGGCTCCATGTCACTTGGTTTTTTAAAACGAAATTTGAAAGCTGCACCTTCAAGCATTCGCAAATTATCATACTTAACTCTGGTTCGCCCTTAACTAGAATATGCCTGTTCAATCTGGTATCCCCACCAAAATACTTAATTAACACATTGGAAAAAATTCAGAATGAGGCAAGCCGCTTCATCTTCAGTAACTACAGTCCCCATTCCAGTATATCCTATATAAAACGAAAACTTTCACTTTCACTCTTGAGCATCCGTCGTGACATTGCCTTGATTTCATTCTTTCATAAAATCACCCACTCCTCCCAAATCACCGTTACTGGTCTGCACAAACAATACCACGTGCCATTATTCTCTGGAACAGTCTACGTCCATAAGTGTGTGAAAGATGTATTTTGTGGTGGCCATCAAGAATGAGCAACTCATTTGCACAGGTACCTTTTTTGTGTAGCTTCTGTGCAGCTAGGAACCAGAAGTGAAATGTAACCTGGCTGGTGCCGACTTTTTTGTGTCGCTTTCAATGACTACGTCGTATGTTACATAAGATATCTCTCTGTAATTTATGAACAGTGGCCACTTATATATTATGAACTTCATGCCGAAAGAGAGGGCTACATGGTGATGCAATTTATATTGTCAGATTGCTAAGCTAATCAACGTTATGGTGAACTGATAGTTCAGATCCATTTTTCTCAGTTTTGTTTTTCTGGCCATCAAACACACTTTTACGGAACATTTTTGCATGTTTTATATGACTAAATGCAAAAACTGAAGTTTCAAAATGTTTGTGCTAAATTGAGCTAGCCGGTGATGCTATTCGTTTATTTCTAAAGCCTTCTGTAAAATTCCAGTTGCCACTAACTATAAAAAAAATAGCACAAATCTAGCAATCAAATATACATATGTTTCTTGTGCATTGAAAGTGTGCTGAGAACAATAAAATTAGCATCACCGGCTAGAGCAACTCTCTGGCTTTCTCAGCATATAATAAGTTTTAAATTTTTATGAAGCGAAGTGTTTAACGAGTCCCGTAAAAAGTCAATATAATTTCTGTATTAAAAGCCTTGTTTCTTTTGTTCTGATGCATGTATCCAAAATGCAATTACATATTTGAGATCAGCAGAAAAACTGAACAACACTCATAAATATCATTGAATTCACTCCAAGACTAACAAATTTCATTTTAGAACCCACGTCTCCCCTTAACGTGCGCGAACACCGCACAGTGCATGGGCCTCTAGCATTTCCACTCCACAGATTTGCGACTGCTGCGGCCAAAGTCAAACCTTTGGGTCAGCAGCCAATGAGACCGGCAGAACCGTGCCTACCTTGATGCTGCTGCTGCATCAAGACCGCCTCCTGCAGGGCACGCTCCTGGGGATTCGGGGAAGAGCGGCTGCGTGGCCGTCCCCTTCGAGAACCCCCAGAGCTCGTGGCACCAGCAGCCACGGCAGCGGCCAGTGGGCTCCCAGCAAGGCCTGGCAGGCCCAGCAGGGGTGAGCCACCTTTGGCAGCTGCCACCGAGGAGGAAGGAGGTAGAGTTGCCACCAGGGGCGGCGGCACTGCACTGTGTATCCCGCACAGGAGGCGCAGCCGCAAGGCCACTTCTTCTTCGCTGATGACCCGACCGCCCTGGGATTGAATGAAAATGCACACGGCTGCTGCATGGCGCAGGCAATATGCAAGTTTCCTCGCGTGCATGTCTGTTTCTTTCTTTTTTTTACCACATAAGCTATGTCGTAAACCTCAATATTTTATTTGGAAAATAGTTAACTAAAAGAACTTACCCTACCCAGTGTCAAATCTGCAGAAGCAGCAGAGTTCTCCAGGTGTGATTTTCTGTGCGGTTGGATGTTTGTAATTACATTTTTCGTAGAGTAGAGATACACGGGAAAGACCCCTTGCCATGCTCTGCTTCCTAGTTCCACTATGCTGCAGCATCAGTGACTGGAGTAATTGGGCCATCTAGGGGTTCGTTTGGATACCATTCCGGACACACAGCTTAAGTGAATAAATGTTACATAGAATGCATGCACTTTACATGAATCAATGCCTTCCTTGCAGAACCCATAACTTTACCACAACTTTTCCCTTTCATATATCTTTCAACAGCCCACAACTGAGAACCTGCTGAACATCAGCCTTTGCTGATGCTGTGGAAAAAGGGCAGCCAACAATGTAGTCTCGGTGAGAGTCTCATTAGAGGGGTATGAGCATGGTGTCGGTCATGGATCACTTCCCGAGAACAACCAGCAAACAGACCCATAGTGATTATAAAAGCTGCAGTAAAAACTAGCATAAACAGCTTTTCTTTTCAGACTGACATGCACTTGTAGAAAATTTTATGCCACTTACAATTCGTGGTACAGTTTGGTATTGAGCATTACATAGTAGCCAACATAAAATACGACTTTTTTTACATGCCCCAGTTAATTATTATTGCAAATGTGCTCAATGAATTGATGTCCTGAAGTTTTCTTTGTTCAGCCTCTGTCATGAGGGGACACAAGACACACGCCGAATGTCAAAAAGAGGCGATGATGTGCAGGACACGAAAAAGTTACTCGATGGTGTGCTCCCCTGCCACGTCCACGACCCGATTTAGCATGCGACTCAAATCATAATGAAAACCCTCGGCAGTAGGAGCAAGCATTGTCCTGTGAAGCGCCAAGCGAAGAAGGTCGAAGGAGTCACTCTCGCAATGAAAGCAGCAGGCGCCCGGATATGGAAACAGCAGCAAAAGGGACCCGGAAAGCAGCAGTAGAACCTTAATAGACAACTCATGAAGCTCCCTGGACCTGCAGCCTCTGGTCATCCGCAGCTCTTCAGTTTCTTAGAAGGATGGCTGCGATTTTTATGATGGTCGTGGGTTCGGCCGGGCAGCACGCAGGAGACACCGAAGACACGGTTAAGCGTAACCAGCTAAGTCCCACAATGACCGGGTTACAAGCAATGAAAGCAAGTGAATCGTCAGGTGGATGCTGACAGACGACGACCGTACAAATGCTTCCAGAACGTTTACGACAAAACGGCGAGACTTTGTCGTTATCGAGCCAACGCCAAAAACAGTAAGAAGGTTCATTTAGAGAATGACTTAGTTAAAGTAGTTTCGAAGAGGCCATAGTGTTTTCAGTCTGGCTTAAGGCTAGAGATGTGTTTGAGTTGGTTAGTTTTTGTTTCGATGTATAGATTATTGTGTATATGTTTTGCGTTAGAGTGAATTTTGATTGTTGGTTGATGTCTTTCATTAAGAGTGGTTGCTGTGCTCCCACAGTCTCCCGTTTCTCTCAATCCCCATCCTTTGCAAGCACTGTCGAGATAAAGCAACAGTCTCCAAAATCAAAACTGTATACACAGAGCTGTGCAGTGTTTTGAACAACAGATTTAAATACATTTTTCAGGAGACATTCCAACTGAGTATACTTGTACAAATGCGCACAGCAAAAACAACCTGGAAGCTTCATTTGGCAATTATTCTGGCAATGTCCCAAACTTTGATTCAATGGGATACATGTGCCCCAGAAGGCGGCACCCAAGTCACCAAGACAACCAGTTGACTTACATCGGTGTCTTCTCCCCCATTGGTGGTCTCAATGAAGGTTCCAACAACCATCCTGGAGCTGAAGCTGAAGTTCTCTCTTCCGATGTCAGTGATGTTATTCTGTTGTAAGTACTGCAAGAGAACACATATTGCCAGACGCCACAAAGAAACACAAAATAAGCTGGCTTCAAACTTTGTCTAATATCAAAACTCATCTAGCACAAAAGGAAACAAAATGTGAAACAGGAGCCTAAGACAGAACAACACACACAGTCAAAATATTCTGGGTCTGGCTCCCAGCAATGCAAAGTTTTTTTTTTTTTTTTTTTTCAGGTATGTTCACATCACTTTTTACACTGCAATTGAAACTACCGAAATCTCCCCGAGCTTTCCTTAGCTTCATGTGGCTGTAACTAAATAAAAATCATGCCTCTGAATCAGTTGCCCGTCCTAATTATAAAAGCACAAATAATGACAGCAACGTTTCCAGACATTAGGGTATGCTAGAGGCATACACTTAGGTACAAAAAAAAGAATGCAAGGCCACCAGCTTTTTCAGCCACCATTTTTCAATGTTTTTCAACGATCTTCAAAAATCTTCAACAGTGCATGCAGAAATATGTTTTAGCATGAACCGCGGCTCAATATCTATACTCCATTTCAATACTTCGGTTCAGCACTACCAAAGCTACGAAGTGTAAAAAAGCCACATGCTTGGCTAGAATTGGCATTTCTTTGGTGAGTTTTATGCCACATCGATACATGATATGTTTATTCTTCTTTGCATTTATTTCATACACACTTAATTATCTCTGACTGTTGCCATTGATAACTCTGTTTACAAATCAACATGGCACCTCCCATGCAGAAGTGACCACTCGCTTCAAGTGACCACTCGCTTCAATCTGGACTTGCTCTTGCTACACGCTCACTGCACATGGTGTCATGGTGAACTGAACAAATGGTGAAATCAGCTATCGATTAATTTCATCTCACTCTGGGACTAAAGCAACAGACACATGTGGTTGATATTAGTGAGATATGCTGCTTGCTTAGTCGCTCCTGCTAAGCCTATAAAGCGCCAAGGCAGTACTCAGACTGCGTTGTCAGACCAAGAACACTGCATCTACAAATAACAGACATACAACCTCGCGCAGCACTTTGTGCGCATCGCATCCTCCTTTGGGGAAACAAAAAAAAGGGGAGAGAGAGAACTAGCAGTTGCAGCAGGAGACGCGAAAGGACGCGTCGACAGAGAAGACACACGAAAGCTACGAACAGCGTTGAAGAGAAACAGCCACAAAGTGAAGTTATTCACCAGCATAAGATTCTACCGATCTTCAGCAGAGCAATAAATTCCCGTTTTTTCAAGTATCCAGAGTAGTTGCCTGTTTAACAGCTTTACGACATTGTGAGGTTAATAAGCTAGCCATAATACTCACAATTCATTCATCAGACACCGCGAATACAGTGAGCAGACACACGATGCGAACGAATACATGTTGAGGAGCTAAGCGCCCTTCCTATTGGCTGAGGGGCCTGTAGCCTGCACAGTGCTGAAGGAAACTTCTGAAATGAAGTATAGCTGCCGTAAATGATGCAGCAACTTATTTCAACAGCTCCCCCCAAGATTATGCAGTCAAATGACATGCCTAACCTGCTGAAAATTCAATCGGACTAAATCGCATGATGTACAGCATGACAGAGAACTTGGTAAGCGGTATCGAGACCAGAGTTAGGGGCACGGTAAAGAAGTCCATATTCATCAGAAAGCAGTAATATCACATAAACTTGCATAGCATATCTAGATAAAAAAAAGGGGGGGGGGGGGCGGTGGCGAGACTTTTATTTCTTTAGTTCAGGACAGGAAACCTCTAGAAAATCTCCCTTTGCAAGTGATCCTGTAAATTTTGACTAACAGCTACTTTGAAACTAATGTATAAAGATCTGATGTACGCTTACCTTGAGCACTTCGGGGTAGCTTCTAAGTTTCTTGCCACAGGGAGCTATGTAGATGACCTCCCCTTTTACACCAGACTTGCCATAAGAATTAATTATAGTCTGCCTCTGCCATCTATGGAGAGGAAAGATATAAAAAAACACTCTCTTAATTTAAGCCAGCATCAATATCCAAACAAATCATTTAGTGCCAATATAACCTGAAGCCGCAATGGCACAATTCACATTGTGGGGTCTCAAATGGAATCGCCATACTTTTGGAACGAACGGACACAGTAAACGTAGTCAGACCCAAACCAAACAGGACATTTAGTATTTAAGTACTTCTGCATCAACGATATTGCCGGCCGCATAAAAATACACCATTCCGCACGCTAAAACAACCTTAAACATTATTCCTATACACTCAATTAAGCATAGCCACAACATATGGTAGCACGAAGCCGGCGCCACTTACGCTTGACTCACCACGAGGGCCCATGGCAAACGACCTGCGGTGCCGTCCACTTATGGACCTACTGCGGGAGACCACCATTCCTGCCATAAAATTTCCTAAATATACACTAGAGGGAACTCTGGCACTAGTGTCTATGGGAGCTGCAACACATAGCGCTTCAGCAAGCATGGGAATTATGGGTATGACATGGATTTGCCTAGTCTTCGTATTTTACGTTCGCTCTGGCTTCACCTGGCTTGAAGTTGCTTTGTCACGAAACAACAATCGGTGAATGTTGGGCAATTAGGCTTCACCACCTTAATTTTTTAGGCTTGCATTTTCAAATCGGGTTACAAAGTGAAAAACGGTTTGTTCGTTTTTTTAACAAAACAAAAACACAGAAATAACCGAAGACACAAGTGCGTTTGCCATCCACACATGAAGACTAGGAAAATCCATGTCATACCCATAATTCCCATGGTCACCGGACTATCGCAGCACCAGAGTCTCTATAGTTAATTTTAAGAAACTCTATGGTTCGCGCCAACCGCTACACGCCAAAGAGCTTCTCCAATCTTTTCTGTCAAGTTGCCTAACCCCGCCACCAGGCATCATAGCTGGTGCTACCGTGCTAACCATAATGATGATGATGATGGTGGCACGTGGGCGCTGCGCCACCTACCGCTCAGTGGTTGTCAACCCTAAATGCGGCCTATTGGCGACACATGCATGCGCCACGAGGTACAAACGACTTTAAAGAGGCTGTTAGCACCCCCACAACATGTACAGGAACACATTGCAACTGTACAGATGCAGAACATGAAAAAATGACATCTAGCTGGCCAAAAGAACAGGTCCAACCGAATGGGCCTAAAACAAGCGATGCTAATTCAATGCAAGAAGCTTATACATGGTACACACAAATGTTTCCTACTGTAATTAAAACCATACAGGTTGCTCAGAATTGCCATTTGTTATAGCAGTTAATTTCAGAATGGGTGCTGAACGTACAAACTCTGATTGCTGCTGCCTCTCATTTCAGGGTCAATACCAAATGCTTACCCTCGTTTCAATGGTATTCTGGCTTCCCGTTCGTTTGTCACATAACACCGTCTCCGCTTCGTTGTGCCTTCTGCAAATGAAAGCGAATCAGCTTTAGAGTCAAACAACTTAACTGTATGAATACCCTTCCGATAAGAGGAAACTGCCCAGCCTGTGCTGCATGCGCAGCACTGTCACAGCGAAAGCTAGAAGAATGGTCTTTCAAAGCCTTTTTTTACCACTCTTAGGGTAGCTGCTACAGGCACAGGGTACCCACTATGGCATAAATCATTGTGTAGTAGGCAGGCATTCACTACGCCATCCTTCCTCATTCTTCGGTTAAGTGCAGTACCCGCTGCACACTTGCAAGGAACTTTGTGCAATATTTTTGGGTTGTGGCTGACGACGATGAAAAATTATGCCAGAAGCTTTTGTAATCCCCACAATCCCCCACAGTGGGTATGCGCCACAGTTAACAGGTGGACAAGATGATGCTTTTATAAAGAGTTGGAGCATTCGACAGTCCACTCGTAGCGCAATTCGCATCATGTGACACCTGGTTCTTCCTTTGCTGTTCTAAAATGCTTCATTACCCATATTAACGCAACTCCTTTCCCAATATCAAGCCAGCCTAAGGCCAGTTTGCAAAGAAGTTCCAAGCACCGGCGTGGCTCAGTGGTAGAATGCTGGACTGGCACAAAGGGGAATCGGTTTTGAATCCCATTGCGTCCTTGGTGTATTTCATTTACTGAGTAATTGTTTTTTCTTATTCCGTGCAATAGTGGTTATGGGCACAGGCGACGGACAACTACAGCGTGCATACCACCCGTGTTGTGATGTCATAAGGGCTTTCACTGCAAAAAAGAAATGTGATTTTCTACGCAGTATATAGTGCCAGCATTAAAAAAGTTACCACAGTAAAACATTGTTAATTCGAAGTCATTGGGACCATGGGAAGTCGGCACATACAAACAGCACATACAAAAAGCGGGATGCAAGGGGTTTGAAATTTTTATTCAAAGTATAATCAGGGCTTGTCGTTTGCTGTGCTGGCTAGTTAGCAGCTCCAAAGGTTATGTTTTCCAGCAATACAAGGTCACAGTTTTGCCACCAACAAGAAACACTGAGCCTCGTTGCTGCAATAGCAAACAAGAAAAAAAGTGATCAGCTAATATATACACCTGCGAAAAATAAAAGGTCTTCACTGCAACACAGCAGTGCCAAGCCAGCAGCGTGTCACCTGCTCCTCGCTGCATCAGCACGTCATGATACAACCATTCACCCATTCTTGGTAGTACAATAAAAATTTTAATAATAGACAGTGTGACAAAACTCACGATGCATTTTTGCTGGAAAACATAATGATTGTAGCTTTAGAACCTAGCTTCCAAAGTAGGAATAGCAGGCAATAACTCTTCCAGCAGTACAAGTGTGCAAATAGCTGGAGCAACCAGCACTAGAAGGTTCGCATGCATCGCGAATTCCGCCAGGCTGTCCTTTATCGATTTCTGTATATTCCCAGAAAAAATGGGTAATTGCGAGAAGCATACGACAAGCTGCCCGTGCATCACCGCTGTGTTGCAGCGGAGCATGTCTTAAAGCAATACTTTTTTGCAGACTAGTTGGTTCATACTTGAAAAATTAAATTGCTGCACAAACTTGAAGAAAAACAAGGGAGACTGCGCTCTTTCCTGTCTCGCTTGTTTTCCTTAAAGTTTATGCAGCAATTCAATTTTTCGAGCATGTCTTGTTTTCCGCAGGTGTACATTTAAGCTGATCACCGAGACAATTTTTTCCTACAATTTTATTTACCGTGCTAGAAATGTCGAGGCTGGGGTACTTCAACTGCCATTTAGTAGTATCGCTACAGTACATTGCTTAGTGGCTCATAAGGGCTGTCGTTTCCGTAGCTCTGCAGCGAAATCGGGATTGGTACACTGCACCCAAGGTTTTCGAATTAACCAGAGTAGCGCTGGCTGCTGCTTCAAATTAAAACACTTAAACTTGCATTTCAAAATACAGGACCACTGATATACTTCGAATTAAGCAGGATTTCGAAATGACCGAACAAATCGATGAGGTTTTACTGTACGTGACTTACACTTTCATCTTCCCTGATTAAAAAGTTAAGTCAATTTCAAACTGTCACTGTATTCACTATATGAATTTTTCTGTGAACTAGTATTTCTTACAAACATACTCTACTGGCAGAATGCTCCTCCAAAGGTGGCAGTAGGCAGAAACATTCTACAGTCAAACTCCGCTACAACGAACGCCGCTTCAACGAATATTGTCGCCACAACGAACACTTTTTCATCTGCCGTCTTGCTTCAACGAAATTTCACGATGCAATTCCAGGCTCAAATACTATTTATTGCTATACAGTGAACACAATCTTTAACATTTTGATACATTTTCAGAACCTGAAAATACGTCGTCGAAGCCTCAAGCACGCGTTGGCACCACTAGAAACCACCGCTGTTCAGTAAGTGTGGGCGCCGATTGCTCGACAGCGATTACAATGAGATTGTCCTGTTTTTACCACTGGCTTGCTTTCGAGCCACAGACGATTCGAAGCTGAAGATCAGTCACTCAGTTCATGGTTTTCTTCGCGCAGCTGGTGGGTGCAACCACGGAATGATGCCTTTTCAAATGCCGATGCTTATCATTTCGTTCGCACTTGGCCAGTGTGGTAACTAATTAGAGCTCTAAAATCAGCTATCCGTAAGGGGCGTATGAAAAGAATGGCATAGAATAAGGCAAGTGTCACGACTCCACCATACCCTGCCCCTGTCTCGGCCTTGTCGGATACACTTTGACCGAATACACTTTGACCGCAGACAGTGTTATTATGTTAATGCAACAGTTTGGTTCGTTCATGAAAGCAGTTGTAGGCATTGTTTCAGCGTGCTTTTCACCATGGCCTCGCTATGAATGGGTAAGAATCACGTCGCGACACTGCTGTAAAAGAATAGGAAGCAGCGGACACTTTTTGAATTTTTCGAATAAACATTCCTTTGTTTTGCTCACTGAGATCAGCTATATTTTTTAATTTCACCACAACGAAACTTTTTCCGCATGCCGTCAGTTTGGTTGTAACGGGGTTCAACTGTGCTGTGCTCTATTGCATGCGAAATAACCCCAGGTGTCAGAAATTAATGCAACAGCATTTTTTAAGAAGCTCATTTCGCAGAAATTCCAATGTCAGCATCGTTGATTGTGAGAGAAAAATCATTATCTTGAGCATGACTGAAAAATCGAAAAAGATGCAAACAGAATAAAATTAAGAAAAAATTCTGGGTGCGAGTGGGGACTGAACTCGAGTCATTTGCGTGGCAGGCAGGTGCCAGATAGTCACGTGCCTGCTTGTAAATACAGTGAAAATAATTCCTCTGCTTGGAATTGCAGTGGAAGTAGCTTGCACGCTTTACAAACACACGCATTCTATATACATGCTTCACAGTACAACACGAAATATTGCAGTAATAATGTGTGGTGCAAGCATACAGATGACCACAAAAGTTTAGGAACCATGCGAGAATGTGGCCAAATGCCTCCTCGCCACACTTCCGCTACGTCACCAGCAATCAACAGCACCCAAGACGCATCCCTCCCTTTCACTTTCTAACGCGGCACGCTTTTTTGAATCTGTGTCTACGTGCTTCTGCCTCAAAAGTAGTTTAGAAAGACAATGTGATAACAGGGTAGTGCTGGGCCATGCCGGTCGCCGGACCGAGTCCACACACATACATTGGCGGGTCCCACACTGACTGACAGGTCGTTTCATTGCAAACGTCGACGCCCCCAGGCACAGGAACTACAAACTAATCTGATCACATCCCCCCCCCCCCCCTTTATTAACGAATGCAAACAATTGTTCAAGGTGAGTAGTGCATTACTAGTCAACGAATTCTCGACGCAGGACAGGATTACTGAGTGCTGTGACATCTAGTTCCGCTTTCCTCGCCTCGTCTTCTCTGGGATCTTGCCAAGACTCTGTGTCGTGAGAGCAATCCGGAGTTAGCTGCCTCTGACCCACATTCAAACTTTGGGGCTGCCTAACTTTTGGTTGTGTGCACTAAGCTCCTCACGGGGCAGGCAGATGTGATCCAGATGTCGAGTTAAATGACTTCCGTCCTCCAGTTGAACATCCATGGACTAAGTGCGTTGTTCGGTGACGAGTGCAGGCAGCCACGCAGGACCTTGTCACCAGGGTGACCCAGAACCCTGGGTCTTGTTCTTTGGTCACATTTGATTTTCTGCTTAAGTTAGATCTGTAGCTCCTTAGTCCTGAGGTCTGGGTGTAGCAGGTCCAACGCAGTCCTCAGCTTCCCCACCCCCCCAACAACAGCCCAGGCGGACAGCAACCCATGACCTCGTGTGGCTTAGGCCTGTAAATCAGAAGCTTCCAGGCAATTTGAGTGCGAATATCTTCAGGGCCAGCCTTCTGCAACCTACTTTTGACAGTCTGCACTGCCCACTCTGCAGCACCGTTTGACGCTGGGTGATGCAATGGCACCAGCATTCGCCTCAACTCGTTTTTCTTGAAGAATGTGGAGTAGAGCTCACTGGCCCATTATCCGACATGACATCTGGAAGGACTTGGTTTGCAAACATAATTCGCATGCAGGAAATAGTAGCTTCAGCCGAGGGTGTGGAAACAGGGAACACTTGGATTCACTTTGAGTACGCATCGACTGAGATAAATAGATACAGTAAAAGCTCATTAACCCTGATCTCAAGAAACCGGTGAAAATTTTCAAGTTAACCGAATTTCGGATTATCAAATGAACCATCAAAACAAAAGAAAAATATACTCGGTACAGACAAACCTTTATTTCCACAAAAACTGCATCAACATAGTCTGCCTCGTCATCGGAATCAGTGCTAGAACGATCTTCTTCAACCCCGTGTGGTGGTGGTGAGTACGCTCACTGTCGCGAGAACTAATGAAGAACTCCGCGACGACAGCCAGGTCTTCAGTGTCCTCCTACACGGTGCAATGTCGCGTCGGCTCATCTTGAATGTCATCATCGGATCAGTGATTCTGATTCTCTTCAAGCACTTCTGAGAGAGGTTTAGAATAACGTT